ATATTTTGTTGATTTGTTGGGTTATACTCCGAGGTAGTATAAATGCTTGAGTCCAATAGTTCTTGTTGATATCAAAACCGCATCAATCAGTTCTAGTCTGCCTGTGTAGCTGAGGTTCTTGGAGATCCAACACTTGATTTTAGCTGTCATCTTTAGAATCAATTCAGCATTCCAGTTGATTCCACCTCCTTGGAGATATTGGTACCCTTAAATACTTCATTGGGAATTTTCCACTCCTAAAACCAGTAATACAACATAGTCTTTCCTTGAACTCCTCTAAGACACCCCCAAAATAAATATCAGATTTATGAGGGTTAGCGACCAGACTTGTGGTTTCGGAGAATTTGCCCAGCACATCCACAATCTTCTGCACCGTATACTCATTTGCCTTACAAAACACCATCATGTCGTCTGCAAAACAGATATTTGTGAATTTCAGTCCCTTGCCCTGCAGATGAAATTGAAATTTTACATCCTCTGCAGCTTCATTCAACAATCTGGTCAGATATCCCCGGATCATCACAAAAATTAAGGGAGACATTAGGTCCCCTTGCCTTAGACCCCATCCTCCTTTGAAGAAGCCACAGCTCTCACCATTCAAGTTCATCAAAAAGGAAGTTGAAGTAACACACTCTAGCACCTTCTCTATGAAACTATCTAGGAATCCATAACCACCTAGCATTTCCTCAATGAAGGACCATTCCACACAGTCCTAGGCTTTCCTAAAGTCTATTTTCAGCAAACACCTACCACTTTTGTTTTTTCTTCCATATAATCTCACCAGCTCCTGCGTAAGAAGTATATTATGTAGTATCAACCATTTGCTAACAAACGCACTCTGGTTGCTTTCAACTAAATTTAGTAGAACTTCCTTCAGTCTCTCACACATGATTTTGGAGATGCACTTGTAGATGACATCGCAGCAGGCTTTAGGTCTGTAATCTGAATCATTCTGTGGTTGATCCTTTTTAGGGATTAATGCCAGCAAGGTGGACTTGAACTGCCTTAGCATCTTCCCTGAGTCAAAAAACTCAGTCACATTATCCTTTATGATTTTCCATGCACCCTTATAAAACCCACTTCCATATCCATCGGGGCCAGGACTTTTGTCACTGTGAATGTCCTGCAGGATTGCCTTTTTTACCTCTTTTGGAGTGACTGTACTGATCAACCTTATTTGTAGCTGCCAACTCAGTATAGGTCCTCTTCTCAATATTCTAGCATCTGTTTTTACCCTTGTACTCCTTTGTCCCAACTGCTTGTAAAAGAAATCAAGGAAATGTTCTTTAATATCTTCCCAATCAGTTAGTACTTACTTGTTCCCCATTATCTCCTACTATGGAACAAATTCTATTCCTCCTGGTTCTGATCCTCAGTCTTGCATGAAAATTCGCAGTGTTTGAGTCTCCTTGCTTGATTCATCTTTCTTTTGCTTTTTGTGCTAAGAAGCTTTTAGCTGCTTTGTTGGCTTTGTTATACTTCTGATACACCTCCTTTTCCTCAGTTTGCATACTAACATCTCCAGGACACATGCTTAGTTTTTCTCGTATCTGCACTAACTTCTCCCTCAGTTCCTGTGCTTGGTTCTGAACTTCCATAAACAGAGCCTTGTTGGGCCTTTTCAACCCAAGTTTTAGACTTTTTAATTTCCTGGCTAGTTGATACATCTTTGTTCCTTTATGATCCTTCCTCCAGTCTTCTTTAACTACCTCCACAAATTCTTTTGCCTGGCACCACATGTTGAAAAACATAAAGGATGCTGCCTTCTTGATGACTCCTTCATCCAATTGGACTGTTATTAGAGAATGATCAGAAATGCCGGCTGCTCAAACAGTCCCAATGGAATTAGGGAAGTTCATTATCCACCTATCATTCTCCATTGCCCTATCAATTCCTGAGCAAACCCTAGCAGTACCAATTTGCTAGTTACTCCACGTAAATTCATGTCCCTGCTACTTCAAATCTTGTAATCCACATTCCTCTACACATGTGTGCAGCCCCTAAATCTCAGCTATTGTAACTCTATTCCCACCACATATCTTCCACCCCTTCTGAGGACATTATTGTAGTCATCAATTGCTATCCAGAAACAGTTTATATTTCTTGATAAACTAATTAGTTCTTCCCATAATTTCTCACGTTCATTACAGGCATTAGAAGCATAAATTATAGTACACATAAAAGCCATATTACTACCCACTATAGTGAATAAATTGCATAGCTATTTTAATAATACTGATCTTAACCAAACTAGGATGCCACAAAATACATATTCTCCCCTTACTAACCCCTTGATCATTCGCAATACACTCATACCCTCGCCAATATTTCCCCACCATTTCACTTAATCTTTCTCTCCCCATCTTTATACTCTACTTATCATACTAACTCTATAAAAATTGCATATTCTATTCCATTCTCTTTGTTTCCCAAGGCTATTTCGGCCTCTAATATTCCAGTGTATAAATTTATTCTTGTATACCTAGATCATGTGGTGTTCCTGGCCTCCTTTCTTCACTGCTCTGTGCCTTTGGGGTTGCTCTCCTCAATATCTCGCAGTACCTCAAACCCATTCTGTAAAGCTTTCCCTTTCTTAGCTCCTCTTCTCAAGATTTTGAATGGTCCCATTGTTCTATTTCCATCTTCACCTTCGTTCTGTTCCTCTACTTGAGCCAGTTTTCTGCTTTTGTTCTTCTCCACTTTTCTCCACTCCATATTCTCTGTCTGCTTCACTTCTTCATTGTTTTTCCCCTCTACATTTTTTACTGGGTCCTTGTTTCTACACACCTCTTCTCTGTGGCCATAACCATGACAAAATGAACATTTGGGTAGGTCTACATTCATAGTAAATAGGTTACTCTATTACTCTTCCAGTTTCATCCATAAAGTGTCCAAACAAAGGTGGATGATCCTGGATTTTCACGTTTACAAGTATTCTTGCAAAAATTAGCCCTATTTTTAGCAACAGTGTAGCTATTTGCTGCTATGGGTTTGCCTAAAATACTAGCAATTCTACTGAAGGTGGCAAGGTTCCGATACTAAAGCTCTAGCCCCTGCAATTGCATCCAAACAGGAACATGCCTAATTTCTTTATGATTAATTCCCCTTTCTACCTTCCAAGGCTTAACAATAACCGTGACGTCCCCTAACCCGTTCTAACTAGCTTAATGCTAATTAAGGAGTCTTAGGTAGACGTCTGCCCAGCTGTCTACAGATGAAAAAGCCTGAGTCATTGTATCTCTATTGTATTCTTCTTACTTTGTAATCATGTTTTATGCTCAGTTCTTCATTGATTTTGTATTTAAGATATTCATAGTGAGTAGTTAAATTATTCCTGGAGTTGAATCACTCTTTTTATATGCAGTTATTTTTGAAATGCATTCAGATGATGTAATATGTTTAGCCTGATCAACTAATCACTTGTGTGTGAATCCTGAAAAGGTAAGCATAGTTTAGAACAACTAAATTTGGCCGATAACTTAAATGTAACAGTCTGAGATTCTAAATTAGATCGAAAGATACCTTTTTGGCATGAGTGATAACAAAGATTCAAGCTTTTAATGGCTTTGCATGATTCTCTTTACTTGGAAGAGGGCTTGTTAATCAATGTAAAGACACTTCCAGGAAAAACTATAATTATTCATTTTATTCCTTTGTTATTTGTTTGAATAGTGCCAAAATTTTTATTGCAATTTCTCATTATGTCTATGGAATAAAATGCAACTGTGAAGTATTGTGCATCAGGTCGATTGTTTATCCTTAATTATTTTATTTGTAACTAAATTTGATACAAATACACACCTAAACACGCCAATTTTAGAATACAAATAAAATCACAAGAAATCGATCACACGCTATTATAAATTAGACTGATTATTGTTTCATAAATCACTATGCAACCTTTTATAGGGAAGTAGCTAGTCGTATTCAAACTTTTTTATTTTTATTTTTGTGGTAATGCTATGAATCTAATTAGCGACGGATAAACGCACACCTACTGCAGAATGCAAACGATAATCGATGGTAGATCATTCTAGGTAAACTTCAAGTTTCAAGATTAGGTGCGAAAATTAGCGATACATGTATCTCTTATTTATAACAAACCACTAGAGATGTCCATGAGAAGAGAAGAGTCAACCAACAGTCTACTAGCGTGGGAAATTGTATTAAGACAATTTTCAAAAATACGAGAGTGATTTTACCAAAACTAATATACTATGTTCAACACTTGACCTTTTTAACTAAAATATTTGAAATATCTACAACACGGATAACTTTATGAAGCACTTTATAGGGTTAAATTCAAAAAAATCTTAAAATACTCATATACAACAAAGAAGAAAAATTCAATAATCGAAAGAAAAAATATGTTATACAATAAAGTGCTATAACGAATATGATCGTATTAGAACCATCTTTTTGTTTAAGTAGGTCCTATAATTTATTTATGATTTTTACCTTAATTACTTAATATAAAATATAATGGGAGGTGGTGGGAGGGGGTTGGGTAGGATGATTAGGGGATTAGGATGGGGGATGATTATTACTAGAAGGTTGAGGGTTCGATTCTTCCTAGGGTCATAAACTAAAAATGCAATCGAATTCTATTACAGAAATTGGTTTATTGAGCAAATGATAACATTCCACCTTTAAAGCAAGGATATCTGGGATTCCGTGCAACGCACGTGCATGGTACTATCGCTTGAATACTATTCCTGAGGTTCATAGTACACAATATGTCTCTAATTAAATTAATAGCTAAAGTAGTAACAATTTCCGTTGTCCTACAAACCTAGCCAAATCTGCAATTTTACACTCCTGCTAAAGCATATAAACTTTAACATGTAGCATAATTCTACAAGTCACATTAACTAAATGTTGACCTCTCCATCTAGTCGATGCCCATTCAACTCCCAATTGCGAACTAAAGTTTGGTCAATGAAATTTTACCTTTCTTTTCAAAATTGCCAAACATCTAGAAGAAAATACACATTGAAAGAATAGATGATCATGCGACTCATGTACCACATTACAAAGAACACAAGTTTACTCATTCTCACAAAGTCATGGTTTATCAAGTATAGATGACTGTCCCTGGATGACCAACCAAAGAATGAAGTTATGACGAGCGATTTTGCCTCGGACATGAAACAATCGTGCCCAATAAAGTTAATACAAAGTTTTGTTTCAATAAAATAAGATAAAATAAAATAAAATGCAAAATTGATATATAACACATTGTGTAAAACTTTTATTATATATCTAAACAATAATAAACCAATTCTAATGTATACAAATTTTTATGAATTCAAACACAAGAATTAACTATGACTTAGTTAATTGATAAAATCTCCCAAACAAGAATCGCCGGTCTTCTCCGAGGTTCAAACATATATTAAAACCCCAAATCCTCTGTTTTCAGTTTAGTTCAAGAAGCAATGGCCCCTCTTTTAAAACCTTCCTTCCATATCTTTCACCACCACCACACACGGTGGCTCGTCACCGGCCTCCTCCCTCTTCCGCAAACTCTCATCTTGCTTCTCCCGAGACTTAATCATTCTGTATCTTCCCCAATTCCTACATTCAGACTCCATTCTACTGTTTCTGCGGCTCAGACTCAGCATCTGGACAATGCCGGAACTGGTTCAGTATCTTCACTGTCCTCCGTTCAACAACCTGAGTATTCCTATCAACAAAGAATCGATGTGAATCCGCCTAAAGGTACCCGCGATTTCCCCCCTGAAGATATGCGCCTTCGCAATTGGCTCTTCAATCATTTCAAAGAGGTACGGACGCTTTCTAGCTAATTGCTTCAGTGGAAAAATCTGATCATCGGAGAGAAATGGAGCTTATGATCAAGATTATAAAAAGATGATAACTGATTATTGTATGGGCATTTGAGAAGAAATGAGTGAGAAGTTTGCTTAATTGTTTGTGGAATCTCGGTTTCAAAATCGGAGCAATGCATGTTATATAATAAGTAAATGATTCTTGGATTTTTTTAGCCGTCCAAAAACCTATTGATATCTTCTCGTTTGTACAATGCGTAAAAGACTTGTTCTTTTTGTTTTTGATATTTTAGGTCTCCAATTTATATGGTTTTGAAGAAGTTGATTTTCCCATCCTAGAATCAGAGGCTTTGTATATCAGAAAAGGAGGGGAAGAGATTAGAGACCAGGTTGGTGTTCATATTTCCTGCTTTTTCTTTTTTGTTTGTACATTGCTTATTAATTGCTAAGTATTCAGCAGTTAGTGCTTCGGAGCTTCTAAATTAGGCTTTCTTATCTGTGTTGTGACTCGGATTGAACTCAGTAACACGTGTTTTTCCTGTGGAAAATTTCTTAACTATTATCCATCAGAAAAGTTTAGTTTCTTTGCGTATTAAGAAAATTAAAAGCCGTTCATGAAAAGGCTCCCTTTAACAGAAAGGAAATCGGTAGGATTTGTAGGTCTGTGTAAGGAATGAATTTAGAGGCTAAAAATTCAGAGTCCTGCAGAAAGAAGCTCCTACCAGTGAGTGCATGTTCAGTGAATTGGCTTATCGCTCACTGTTCTTTATCTTTTGAAGCTTGACTTCATTAGGCATTCTAGAAATTCCTGGGAATCTGCATGGAATCTCAGTTGGAAATCATAGTCTGATTTTTCTTTATTTTACATCCCCTTTGAAGAATATGCTGCTTATGTTGATATTGTATGCTTGTATATTGTTAAGTTATGGTAGTACGTACAGGACAACAGTTTGCTTGGCTTGTTATGTTTGCTTGTGAATTAAATAAAATGCATCCTCAAAAGTGCAAAAAGTTAAAACTGACAATCACTCTGGGTCAGGAAAATGGAAAGAACGGAGGTTCTTTATAGAAGAAACAAACTGTAGAAGAGCTAAATCTATGGAATTTCAGAACATTTGGAAACTAACTCTGCTGGCAACTGCAAATGAGTAATCCAAACTTTTAACTTGGTGATTTTTTCAGCTTTACTGCTTTGAGGACCGGGGAAAACGCCGAGTAGCATTGAGGCCCGAACTTACTCCTTCTCTCGCTAGGCTTGTGATACAGAAAGGGTATGTGATTTCCCTTCTTTTTATTATTGTTATTCTTAGTAATGCAAAGCTCCTTCCCTCTCCACCTCTTTTTTATGCAAAGCTCTTCTTTAGTTGCATTACTATCTCCTGATTTTTCACATATAAATTATGGTCTTTGATCTCATAAACAAGCCCTGTTGCAATCCCTGATTGTTTTACCCTTTTCAGAAAATCGGTACCCCTCCCTTTAAAATGGTTTGCTGTTCAACAGTGCTGGCGTTACGAGAGACCGACAAAGGGCAGACGCCGTGAGCACTACCAGTGGAATATGGATATAATTGGTGTACCTGACGTTACAGTATGTACGCTGAAATTGATCTGTATTCATGCCTTGCTACAATCTTCGTTGGCATAGTTGTAGGAATATTTGATTGATATTAGTGATTATTTTGTTTTTAACAATATGAGAAGTTTTTGTATAGCCCATGAGGAAAATAGGTTACGCCTTGTGTGTGATCTCTCAATGCTATAAGGCTTCTTGAATTCTATCGTAAAAAGAATCTCATCGAGTAAGACATTCTTATATTTGACTCTTGCTTGGAGTGTTTTGTGCAATCTAAAGAGCTACTCAATCTGTAGTTTCACTGAGCCTGTTATATTCTACAGGAAATGGTGTGCTTTGGGTCAAAATGTGACTTTGGGTAGTAGAAACAATGAGCTTTTCGAAATTTCTGAATTTCCTTTAGTGTGATTACGTCCATTTCTGGTCAAGAAACAATGAGCTTTTTTATGTTTATTGAGCTATGATCAAACAATTTTCTTCAAGAGACCTCTCAGAAACTTTGATTAATGGGTCAATGAAGGGCTCTGTTTTATTACATCACTGAAAATGATAGGAAACTTTATCTATTAGATCTCTAGTTCTCTTCCCTGAAATAGTGGTTTTGGAAGCAAGAAAGAATTAAATTCAATCACATCAGGAGTCATTAGTAAATTGAGAATAAGACTGAGTTTTATGGCAAGCCTAAAGAACTAGCAGGATTTTTTGTCTTTGTTGTAGTTTCTTATGTCCTTTTTAGTTTCTCATTGTTTTCAAATATCATAAGAAATGCTCAATATTAATTTATTTGGACAAGTGAGAAGTGAAATATGGTATTTTGGTTTCACTACTGGTTTGTTTGTCTGTCTGTTTGTTTTTTGTTTTCTTCCTTTCCCTTTCCTTCCGATTATCTGCTCTTCCGATGTTTTAGGATGACTTAGTGGTATCATCTGAGGTTCCCCTTCACGTGCTGTCCCACCTCGAAATGTTTTTGGGGTCACCACCAATGTTTGATGAACATGATTTCACACATTTGTTGATGCTGAAATTTATGTGTAATCTTCGATTTTTCTAAGACTGAGACAACACTTATATCTTTGTAGATATTGACTCAATGCAAGCACTTATCTCTTTACGGATATTCACTCAATGCAGCTTGTTTAGGAGAGTGGTTGAAAGAAAAGATAAGAAAAGGGGAGGGGGTGGGAGAGGGGGGTTGTGTTTGAGCTTTCTTACCAAAAGGAAGTGCTTGCTCATTGTGGCTATCACAAATTTGGCTTCCAAGTCATACCTTTGTTCTTCTTTTGATACTAAGTGATTATAGGGGCATTAGCTGCTTGGATATAACAACATGAAGCAAATTCTTACAAAAGAAGCTACCAGAAAAATACACCACGACTTTCTTCTTCAGCTTCAGAGGCTAAATCCAGATGGCAATATCTAGACATTCATTATTACAGTCATAATTTGCAAAATGCAAATCGAAAATAATGATGAAGCTGTAATTTATGCTATGGCATTATAATATTCTTTCCATTAACGTCTTCTGATTATTACGGCCTGCTTTTTATAGATTATGAAGTTTATGATATTTTCCCTTCTTGTCAAATGAAAATTCTCTGTGTTCTTAACTGCTTTGCAATAATTGCAATGTGTTGCAGTAGTTATGGCATTGATTCCTGTGCTTGAATAATGAATTATGTCATGTGATTTTGATGTTACTTCTCTTCACTGGTAAATCACAGGCTGAGGCTGAGCTGATTACGTCCATTATAACCTTTTTCAAACGTGTTGGGATCACAGCATCTGATGTTGGGTTCAAGATTTCTAGTCGGAAAGTAAGGGTGGTTTGTGTTGATCCACTGAATGATTTTCTGTTGGAGTTGAACTAGTTTCAATTGCATAAATGTTTTGCCTCTATTGTCTGATAAATGATAAGAACTATGGTCCCCATACTCTCAATTCATTGTAGTTGTTTTATCATCTGTTTAAAAATGAGAAGATGTGTGTGTATACCAAATATGATGGTGACATATGATCCATACAGTGGAACACACACAGTGGGATAAAGCTCTTGTTGTTCCTTCATCGTCTGTTTCATTGATATTATTTTATGTCAATTCCTATAAGATATATCGAAGACGATAATGATATTTTCTGTCATTGTTTTCTGAACAACAATGTTATATCATCTTTTTATGTGGATTCTATGGAGTTGACTGATTTGGGTAATTTGTTGGTGCCAACAACTGATTTGTAACAGGTTTTGCAAGAAGTTTTGAGACGTTATTCTGTACCAGACCACTTGTTTAGCAGAGTTTGCATCATTATTGACAAGGTTAGTACAAAATGCATATTTTATTGTTTTATTGTTTTATTGTGACATATTTCTTCCCTACAACTATCTTTTGCTAGGTTAATTCTTCTGCCCCGCTAGTTTTGAATCATCTAAAATGATTTGATTCATAAGCTATTTAAGTTACTGAATTTACCTATGTTTTAGAGCCTTATTATTCTTAGTCTACTAGCTGAAAGTGGGATATGCTAAATATAACTTCATCGTTTTTGAGCATCTGAAATTTACCAACTACTAGAGGTAATGCTTTAGGAGTGTCCAAAATATTATGAGATCAATCTTATTGCTATGAAGATAATGATCTGTTTTGTTTATAGGATTATATAACTTCCAAAATAATTTAGCGGTAAAAAAAGATATGATTTTGAAACTTTACGTTTGGAGACAGTTAGAAAAGATTCCGATTGATGAAATGAAGAAAGAGTTGAGATCTTGTGAGTTATCAGAGGAGATTGTTGAGGAGCTGCTGCAAATTCTATCTGTTAAGTCTTTGGCAAAATTGGAAGGTTGGTCAGCATACTATTTCTTCTTCTTTTTTTTTTTCCTTTTTTTTTTTCTTTTTTTTTTTTTTTTTAAATGTTGAAATGTCTCTCTTCAATTTGAATTACTTTTAAATGTTTGTTTTGGACACACTGGCATATCTATGTTTTTAGCTGAGGTCTCATATTTTGTTTGGGCAGAGAAACTTGGTACAGTCGGGGCACTTGATGACTTGAAGCGATTATTTTCACATGTTGAGAATTGTGGCTATTCCGAGTGGATTCAGTTTGATGCATCTATTGTTCGGGGCTAACATATTATACAGGAGTTGTATTTGAGGTTAGAGTTTTTGTAATTAGTCTCCACCTGTTGCTTGGTTTTGTTTTATGAGATAAGGTTTTGCTCAATCCTCTATGTGATGCTGTGATTGTTCTTCAGTGAAAAAGGTGGTTTCGACATTAATTTCCTTAAATACAAAAAAAGTTCTTTGTAGTCATAGCCTTATCCGATACCTTTGATCACCCATTTCAAGATTATGTTATGCTAAATTGTGCATGAAATGGGTATAAAATGTAATAGCTTTTAGGTCTATGGGTTGTCTGAATTGTTTAGGGATTGTTGGCGATGCGATAGGTAGGATGTGGTTGTGGACGCCTTCTAGCAATGCTTCTTAAAATGGTGCACTAATTTAAACGTGTTGTAGTAACTGAGTCATAATAGTTGTTTACTTCAGGGATTTGTCCGGGAAGGGAGGATGCGAGCCATTTGTGGGGGTGGCCGGTATGATCAGTTGCTCTCTACTTTTGGAGGAGATGACATTCCAGCTTGTGGATTTGGCTTTGGGGATGCTGTTATTATGGATGTGAGTAAATTTTCTGGTTATATTCATTCACTTTTCTTTTATTTTTTGGTAAACTAGGTACTTCCAGTTATCATTGGAGGTTATAAACTGCAAATATTGTGGATATATTAAGTTCTTCCCATTCATAGTAACTTTATAGTTCTTTATGTTTGTGCTTTATAGTTGCCCTTTTACTGACTTACAATTTTGTGAAAGTCCATTTTAGTTGTGGACGGTCTAAATCACTTGGAGAAAAACTCTAGTTCCCTTGTAAATTATTATTCGGAGAGAGGAAAGAATATGTTGGTTATGATTAATAGCAGATTAGTTACCTTAGTGTAGAGTGCTTGGGGGACTTCCAACTTGATGTAAGCTTTTGCACAGACAGGATTTTTTGGCTTAACACTCAGCCAAAAGTATTTTGAGTAGACATCTGATTGCTTCTCCTGGCTTAAATGTTTGTCTATCATTTGCTATGAAACTATTCAAATATGACAAGAAACTTATACTTGTAATCCTATCAAAAGCCATACCCTGGCACAAATTTATCAGCCGGCCTGTAGGGATTCGTGACATTTATGTGATTGCCCCTTCTTCTACCCAGCCTGGTATTGCCTCCATCATTAACTGAGACTCTTCTGCATATAAGCTCATAAAGATTGTTGTTCCTTTTCTTTGTATGAAGTTCCAAAATTTTGCTGTTTATTAACATTGTAATGATGTTTGAGTGTTTCTCTACATCAATATCTTGCTGTTACGGTAGCATGCTCATTATTCAAGGCATTACTGCACTTTTGACCATCTCACAATCTTCATTTTCAACTTTTCCTTATACTATTTTGTTTGTGATTTAGCTGCTTAAGGAAAAAGGTCTTCTCCCAGAACTTAGCCTCAATGTGAAGAACATTGTCTGTTCACTAGATGCTGATCTCCAAGGTGAGGCCGGTGCAATTGCAAGCATTCTCAGGGAGAAGGGCCAAAGTGTTGATTTGGTATTGGAGAATAAACCACTCAAGTGGTAAGAACAGGTTTACGATATGTTTTACTAGTTCCACTTATTGTAGAACATGTGTGTTGAGTTTATCTCTTAGTTTTTCCAGATGAGCTTCTAACATTTTGTAGTTGGTTAGCGGCTTTTGTGTCATGTTAATAATTATACTAACTCTTGCTTTGATAGGGTGTTCAAACGAGCAGATCGAGTCAATGCAGAAAGGTTGATACTGGTTGGACGTGCTGAGTGGCAGAAAGGCATGGTAGCTGTTAAGTATCTTTCATCTGGCATACAGAACGAGGTCAAGGTCGATGAACTAGAATAGTTTGGATGGCTGTGGTTCGACTTTTGTACAGGCACTTTTAGTTATTAGGTTCATAAAACTATTCTTTGGTGCCATTTGCCCGAAACAAAGCCTATTGAAGGTTATGGAGGTTTCGGCGTTATTTTTCTGGAGTAGAGTACTAGATCAACAAGTATTTGCGAATCAGTTTTTGTAGTGATGAAGTAGAAAGCCAAAGTGAGTTTGTTGATATCTTTTCGAAATTTAACAAAATGGTTGCAACGAGAGTAGTTGCTGATGTATTTGATTGCTCACAACAATACCTATTAGTTCAACCCAAATCTGCACTTGCAGAGTTGCAATTTTGCCCAGTTTTGGAAACAAAACAGTCGAAACAAGCAAACCCGTTTTTTTTTTTTTTGCTGCTCAAATTAGTCATTTATGAAAGGAATAAAATGATTCAATGAGCTAAATGTAGAAATCCGCAGCAATGGATGACTAATCTAAGGAAGCATATGGGCAAACTGATATGAAATTCCTAATCAATGAGTTAGGTAAATATCAATGAGTTGATTTTCGATGAATGTCTGTTTCAGCAATAATGGACGACTCTCCTATGAAATTGGTACAGTATGTGTTTTAACATCACTCTCAAACCTAGTCAATACAAAAGTCGGGTGCAAATTGTAATTCAACACTGTGTGTCGCGAGTATCGGCCGGTGAAGAAGCACAAACTTTTTTTTTTTAAATAGATCAATAGTGGTTCCCTACTTATCTCTGGCGTGACTCAAACCCGTGACTTATTCGTCAACATGTGAGACGTCTTACCACTAACCTGCACTTCATTGTCAAAAGTACTAACGTTTAATTAGATTAAGTATATAACTAATGAATAATGATATATGCAAAGAAACATTTACAAGAAAAGGAAAAGTGAAAAAGAATGATGTGGACTAAATCACGTCTTTTGAATTTTATACTTTTATTTAGAATTTAACCATTTAAATTTTATACTTTTATTTGGAATTTAACCATTTAACAGTAAGGGGAGTTTAGATCTTCGACACATCATTTTTGTTGTTTTTTTTTTGAACACGTATCATTACTCTTAATGAATAACGTTTGTCCGTTTGTTAGTTTTTGTGTGTAAAGGTTCCCGCCTCCATGGTCTAGACGGGCAGGCTTTTGCTGCTCACTTTGTATCTGTTGCCTAGTTGTACTAGCTAAAACTTATGTGCGATATATAAGAAAAGCACTCTGTGCTGGTTTCTCAAAAATACACCATTTACATTATTACATATTCGTTTAGGTCTAAAACAGTAAAATACAAGCTATGTCATTTTTTCCAAAGCAGAATGCTCCGCATGTAGTATTGCTATTGCACAACAGATCCAACCAAGTCATTGCAAAAATTTCACACCGGTGAGAGACAAGCAAGAATCGACACGAATGCCGAAAAAACGACCCGTCTCGAGAGAGTGAATTCGGTCCATACCAAGGGCTTTGTCACCCTGGACCGGCACTTTGTGAAACTCTTCCTTGAGTTCCGCCAGCGATACTGTGTTGTCAAATTACGAAATCTGCTTTGGCTCTTTTGAGATGAAGCGACATTTGAGCATTTATTCTGCTGCTTGTAGCACCATCCTCCTCCGTCGTTCCATCCCTAGCCATAAGCAGTTTGAGCTGTGTCTCGGGATCAAGTCAAACGACAACAATGGGCTTCGTCCACTTGTCCATTTTGGCTTCCAACAATCAAGGCACATCAAGAACAACAATCTCGCAACCCTCTAACCACAGCTTTAACACTTGCATTAAAATACTACCCAATGAAATATACGGAGCTAGCAACCTACATAAACAAGCCAAAACTCTTAGAAATGCAAATAGATCGCCATTCAAATATGCGTGCTTCAATTCTTAATCACAAATTGTAACATATATATTGTTGTAAGTTTAACCAGGAAAAAAAAAACGATATCCTTGTGCATAATCCTGAATGGCAGGGACCAATATGAAAAGCTGAGGAATTGATGGTCTCAACACAAGTTTCTATCAACATAATAATTGGGATATTATCGGTTCATCTGTATGTAAAATGGTAAGAGACACTTTCAGTTTCAGCTCTGGAGCAATTAACGACCTCCATAAACAAAGCCCTAGTAGTGTTAATTCCCAAAATAAGCACGCCAGAGCGATTTCAGGAATTTCAGGTCAATCAGTTTGATCCAAGTCTCGGTAAAAATAATCTCTAAAGTGGTTGCGAGCCCTCGGAAGGACCTAACAAAATAGCGAACCACTTGATTAATGACTAAAAATCATGAAAAATCAACAATTTTAAGCATTATCAAACTAGCCCTAGGTGTATTTGTTCTAAATTTCACCTAATATGTTTTTTTTTCAATTGAAAAAAAAAATCTTAAAAATATTTCCTAATAATTGAATTGAATGTATATGTGAAAGTGTAATTTTAAGGTTTTTTTTTATTTTTTATTTTCAATCCAAAAACCATACTAGTTGAATCCAAACTCATTATTATAAGTTTTTTTGAAAATGATATCATAATTAATTGTAAGTAAGGTGGTAAATCAATCCAAACTCATTTTAAGGAACTTATAAATAATCTATGATGAGTTTAATCTTTAATCCAAACTCCATTGTTACCAGTTGATTTTATTACTTGTTTATTGTTTTTGTTTTTGTTTTTTTTTTTTTCTATCAAAACCTTGTTCACCTAATCCTTAATCAGGTGGTGCCCTATTTTTCAGGCCCTTTAATATTCAGACTATTTGATATTCCAACAAGATTCCTTATGAAACAAAAATTCCAATTGAAAGAACCACAAGTGAAAAGGATTAGTAGCAAACGTGAAATAAGATAAATTAGACAAGTGGAAACCAAAAAAAGGAAAAAAAAAATTGCATATTAATACAGTCAAAAGATATGCTGAAATTAGTAAATATATCATTATAATCCTGTTTGGATATGTTTTCTCCTTTTCAAAAAAAATAAAAGATATGTTTTCTCGGACGAATGGCGCGTCTTAGCTGCGGCATCAGACCGAAAACCCGATGAAGTTATCGTTGATTCACTTTTTCTCTACACTTCCCATGAGCTAATATGGAGGTAGTGCCAGCAATTCTGCAACCCTGGTAGTAAAGCTGATGAAGCATTTTCGAAACCACCATTGGCAGACATTGATCATTCTTAAAAGTCTGCCTACATACAGGCAGGTCGCGTAAGGCCTGGATTAGAAAGAGAAGAATCGTAACACTTGAATAGCGGCATAAAGTTCACAACACATTAAGAAGCATGGATCACTCACACAATCGTATTGATGTTACATACTATTTACACATTCAACTAAGTTCAGTCTTGTTGCTAAGATTAAGGAATAACATCCAGAAAAGAACAGGTACATAACAAATAAGCCCTTCCAAACCTAATTATCCATGCTCTGATCCCTTCACACCTTAGCAAAGACATCATCAATGGCTACTCTTTTCAGGTAGTTTTTATTTTGAAGCCATATGGAATAAGGGCATTAGACTACTCAAAATCTAATCAAGTTGTGACAAGTTGATTACAACCAACAAAAACCATCGCACGAGGTAGGATGTTGTGTAGAAAGACACTAGTAGGTGTCTCTGATCGTGATGTGATATATCAAGAGTATGATTTGGTGATAATTGTATTTTCGTCATCTGCTATCTCATTTCACTGTCTCTATCATCACCCCGCAAGGTAATGCGGGAAGATGAAAGTAAATAGTGACATGTAATTAGCTATCAAAGAAGAAAACTACCTCACAATGGTACTTCGGGGTATGTACCTTCCAGCTATTTCAACACTTGTTGTAATTGGGGACCTCTATGCTAGTAAACGATTAATAAGAATTACCGCATATTTCTCTGTTTCCTGCCAAAGTTCAAAGTTCATAGTCATTAGCTAAACAATAAGAATTCCAGATAGTCAAACGAAAATGTAAACAACCAGTGACGTTGCAACCCAATTTTGATCTTGTTTCACAATAAATTGTGAATATTGCCAACAAATTGTAAACAGAAACCATGTCTATAGATGATATGCAAATTGTTAAAGTGAACAGAAACCATGTCAATATACGATGCGTAAAAACAAAAGCACACATTACTGAGGTGTAACTCAATCATGACGACCAAATCATTGTATCAGGTGGCAAGAAAGCATTTCTCCCAATTAATCTACCGAGAAATTAAGAATCAGGAAATGTTTCTGACATCATTTCCTCTATGACTTAGGCATTTGAGTTTTTGCCCCCCCAATTATCCAGCACACCATCTAAATATTGGACAAATGGGTCAACAACGTCAGTCTATCAGAGTCATGTTTAGAACTAACACTCTTATACAGACAATGTTGAACTGCTAAGTTTATCGTGCAAGAAATAACTTTAAATCCAAGAGAAAATATTCACGGCCCCTTGGAGAATGTCAATCCAAGTCAAACCCAATATGTCAATTGTTTTCAACTCAATTCGAGTTTCCATGTGAAAGGTGAGAATCACTCTCAACAAACATTTTGAAACCATGTTCTCTATGAAGTTTCAAAGGTTTAAAATAAGTTACAGCGCCCCAAGTTACTTAAGTATAAGATCCCTCATAAATAACGTGAAGTAACCAGGCATACACATACAAGTATACCTTTTCAGCGCCCTGTTAGCAAACAATACAGCAGATCGTGAAAACTGGTATATGGCCTCAAAATTTCTTTCAGCCATAGCTTTTTTATCGAATATAGCATCTGATAAAACCACGGCTGCTGAACCTTGGGCAATATATTCAAAAACTGAATCTGCATTACAGAGACTTTCCACTTCAGAAAGATAATTGTCACTAATGATGTACGGAATATAACCATTTCAGATGCCATTCAAGATAACAATAACCCATGGATACCAGATGGTAGCCATTTCAGATACCATTCAAGATAAAAGACGTCTAATGTAAACAAGAAGCCTTTATTTTGCACTATGTACTCAACTATATTAATCTTCAAGCAAAACAGTATGTGGAAGTGTCCAAAGAAATAACCCATGAGAAACTATGATAAGAGGTGAAAACCAACCCAATGTAATGCCTTGAGATGCAACCAATGGAATGTGCGGGAAAGGCTTTCTTAGAGCTCCTATGTATTGAACGCCACCAATTGAGGACACAGGGTATACCTATTGCAACAAATGAACGAAATGCACAAATAAAATATATTATATAACATTTACATTTCAACACCAAGAGTCATCTACATTTTTAATACAAATTGGCATTATCTCCAATACGGGTTAGATAGACACTTATGACCTGAAAATTATAAAATTTTTTATTATACATCTGGTCATTTTAATTTAACACTTCTCTAAAATTCAATGAGAAAATGAGAAAACGCCATTGATTTTATACTACACCTGTTAATGGAACATATCAGCCCATCAAAAAAACACAATAAAGTTGTTTATAAACAACATAAGTTAATCCACTATTCCATGTTACGAACCAGATAATAAGATAATAAAGAGGGCATACGCGAACTGATCTAAACACAAAACATTCGATAACGAGTATATTAGTCCCTAACCCAATCTTGACCAAACCTGCCAATTTTCCATACCTTGATCAATTTTGCTCCAGCATCGAATGCGGATAATATCTGCATGAAAGTGAAAAAGGCAAAAATCATATGAATACGAGTTCCTTTTCCCATTTCCTTATTACTAGGTAAATTGCATTCATGTGAAGACAATCAGAATGTGATATAAAGTTGATCCAAAAGATGCATTTAGTAGAAACTCTCTTTGCTGAAACAAATTGGTTCAGGGGAGGTCAAGTGACATTAACAATGTCATTCAGATCAGATGTTCAAGCCAAATACCAATTACATGAAGTAGTTGTCTGAACCCAATGAGCTAATTTACCTCTGTTGGAGTCATGGCCCCAGGTATGTATAGCACTTCACAGCAGGAAGCATAGTCTAGAATACCCTACAAATAAAAGTTTAGAGAAGGATTACAACACAAGTCCTACAAACAAAAGTTTACAAAAGGATTACTACACAAGTTCAATTAGTTAACATGAATGGGGAAACATAATCCTGTATACATTCCTTCTCTATCTGTACCTTCACCATTGCTGGACTCATAAGAAACTTAGCTCCAAATTTAATAGCAGTATTAGCATCTACAGGATTTAAAACTGTTCCAACCTGCAAAAAGCCAAAATAAACAAATAAATAGTCTTACTATATAGCTATTTTTTTTTTTTTTTGTTTCATTAAAAATTTGGACATTTACTATTGTTCCTGAGAGTTCTTATTTAGCATGAACTTCATATTTGCTTTTTTTTTTCTACTCTGTTCCCAATTATATGTTGCTTTGTGCTTGTTTCCACACTGATGAAATGTGTATCAGCATCATCCACCATTTCATAAACTAAATTGAAAATTGATTGATAAGCACATCCCAGATGCAAACCAAAAGACATGAGAACTCCTTATTGGCTCTTTCTTCCTGAAATTTGCCAGATTTCAGCATTTAACATGCAATGGAAATAGAAAAACAGACTAATGTGCCCATCCTGCATGAAGTATACATGTAAAAGTTAACATGCACACCAAGTTGAAGAGACTTACACCAAAAGTTCTTGTTGGGTAAAACTCAATTAGCTTCTCCAAGACCTGGGAAAGGGTAGGAAAGGTTAGCACAGATTACCGGAGCAACCTCTCCGATAGGAAAAAGTCAATTATGGGAAAGACAGTTACCTCAAAAACACCCGGATTGGACATTACAATTTCCAGCTGAAATACAAGAAAGGGAAAAACAGTTAAAATTTACCAATATTTATCCTGAATACACTGCATAAGGTTGGCTACATAATAACATGGCCTATCGCATTCTTATACAAACAGAAAGTTGAAAGAAACAAATAAAGACAACCCAACATACATCTGTGTACATTTCTTTAGTTACCCAAACAGGACACCAACAATACAATCACCCTTAGGTTTAGTATATCTTGCAGACATTACGACAAGACCATAAATATTAGGAGCTAGCATAATCAGTCAAAAATCAATTAAGAAGGAAACCTTTTTGTAACACCTTTCTTCTTGAATCTTGACCAAACAAACATGACTTCTATTAGACAACATTTTTACATGTGGAAGAGGTAACAAACTCAGCCTGCTCATAAGCAGCCAGTCTCAAGTTCAAAGTTTCTGATCCCAGGCTCTATATAAGGATAGTGTACATTCCATAACAAGCATAAAATTTTGCACACAAATCATCTCCAAGATATAGATCACATACAAAATCTGGAAAAAGCCATGAGGTCCCTCTAAAATGGAACAGTGGAGATGATTGCTATCATCCACAAAGGCTAAGATTTATGGAAAGCGTACAATGGACAAGTAATTGGAAGTTTGAACAATAAGACCCATAAAATTGGAAGTTTGAACATTGAAGCTTGACTTACATCTTCGTATGAAGCAGGTAGAACTAATATAGAGATGTATAAGTAATTTGAGTCTCAAACAAACAATAATGATACATTATTCATTGAGCAAGCGTATCATTGGTTTGAAAGAAACAAGTTACAAATCCGAAAATAATCACAGGAACTCAACCTAAAACTCTAGTTAACCCGTGTATGCCAAACACATTGAAGCGTACCATTGATAATAAATGCACTAAGAAGGATAAGACCCATCAAATTGGAAGTTGAAGCTTGACCTACATCTTTGTATGAAGCAGGTAGATCTAATATAGAGAAGATGGATAAGTAATTTAAGTCTCAAACAAACAATAATGATTTATTATTCATTGAACAAGCGTATCATTGGTTTAAAAGAAACAAGTTACAAATCTGAAAATAATCACAGTAACTCAACCTAAAAATATAGCTAAATCGTGTATGTCAAACACATACAAGAACTGATAAAAGTCAAATTTGGAAATACGTAACGTTATTTTTGAAGGTCCCTAAAATGGAAAACAATATCATGGGCAAAGATCATGGAAGTAAAGTGATAAGATATATGCTTGGGTTCACTTAAGTTACTCTCTGGGGTAACAAGAGAGATCAACAATATTATTTTTATATTTTGCAGTTGCTTATGATTTCGTCACAGAGAATAACTTGTTCAAAAGAGAGAGAACCAATTCATTAAGCCGCAACCTTTGGTCAGTCACATGAGTGTGATTAAAAAGCATGTGAAGAGTTTAAGGCATATTTCAGAGATGACTCATGACCCAAAATCAGTTACTAGTCTTCTACATGAGGCTAGAAATAGTTTAAACTTTTTAGATGAGAATTAGTACTGATAATTTAACAAAAGTTGCCCAAAATACGAAGGATATATTAGAAACTAAGACAAGGATCTGAAAACATAGGAGAACTAAGACCAAGAATTTGATTGAAAGGCTCAATGCCTCTTCATTCTGATTTCCTCTATTAAATAGATGAGTAAAGCTAAGATATTTTCAGGTTCACTATAGTCTAAGCTAATTCCTCTCTTACTATAATTACAGGCTATTGACTAGGCTAAAGTTAGGGACTATAATTACAGTCTATTGACTAGGCTAAGGTTAGGCTATTTTTACTCTACAATTTATTATAGAAAGGCTGACCTCTAGGCTAGACTCATTAGACTCATTAAACTCCTAATTAATGTATAATTCTACACATAATAACAGGATAAACTGGAGGGAATCAAATAATAAAAACAAGAAAGATAATGTTACGAAAGCCCAAATTAAGTTGGAAAGGAAATATTTGCCAAAAGGGTCTGTAGAACGAAAGCAACAAATAACAAATTTTGCAGTCTTGCAAATGATAAGTAAATAACACAATGAATGCTGTGCAATAAACAATCCAAGTAAAGGTTATTGGAAGAACCAGAAGTTTTAACCCTTGTATACTTGTACAAACGCAAAATATAAGTCATGCCGGAAGGTAGAAAGGTAAAAGATGAGACAAAAACAAAGGTTTCAAAAAGCTTTTGTCACAGAAATTATACACTGAGGAAATAGTGAATGGTAAACATAAAAATGCTAAAACAAAAGACATGAAAATAAAATCTTTAACATTACAGTACGTAGACAAATGAAAATACTTCGTATATAGAACTTGATCCTATCTATGATTTTAACATTTGTTCTTTCTCCATTTCACCAATTCCATTCACTACTCATTGTCAGAAGCAAATAATTATGGAATTTACTTTTATATTTGGACTTGAATATCTAACAGGATATGATATCACATGTTGAATTTAGTTTATCATTTCTCTACTTGCCATTGAGCAGCCCATACAAACTTAAAAATTTAAGAATATTGGTCGTCTTTGGACAATTAACAATAAATACCAAACCAAAACTCCGACCTTCATTTTAGGCTTTATAGTTTTTCAACACCCTCCACCCACCAAAAAGGAAAAAGCATCCTACCTGATCTAGTTAGATATAAATCAAACCACAAATCCGACCTTTTTTAAGGCTTTATAGTTTCTCTCAACAACCTCCACCCACCAAAAAGTAAAAAGCATCCCACCTAAACAGGAGGTGGGTTACTTAGGTGGTAAACAAAATATCAGGCCTTACAGTATGTTGTGTAGCATCTAGCTTGTTCTAGCAATTAGCAGAGGATTTTCTTTCATCGATTGATATCTAACTAGATCATCTATTTGATTTAAGATTTGAATGATTTCCTGCTTTACCCAACTGAATGCATACTTGAATTTTAAATATTAAAAAAGTTTTGGATTTCCGAGCAGCTTTAACCAATACTAACTATCAGGCCTTTTGGCTCCTCCACTCTCTAAATTAGCAAAGTTATCTTCCAACAGCGGGCGACACTTTTACGGTTGTGTCAGGAAGAGGTGCAGTGACATGCTCTGTTGATATTCTGACATGCCCATTCTATAGGTTCCCACAAAAACAATCTAACATGCTTTTAAGCCACAGTAGGTATAAAAATAACTCTACCATAAAATATTCTTACATGTCAACACAAGGCTCAAAGTGTACAGCCCTTTCCAACCACCTACTGGAATATACAGTAAAGCTAAAGGGAAAAGTTTAAGATATGCTATCATTCTCTTGAAAGAAACATGAATCTCTGTACAAAGTGAACGTACCGCGGTCACTCCACCATCTAAAGCAGCACATGCAGCTTGAAATGCCAGCTCTGCACTAAAAGGAAAAAAGAAAAAAATAAACCATAAGAGGAAGAATTATATCAATAACCAGATTGAACAAATTCAAGATTTTTACAGCCTCAATATTAGAAGTTCAGATTTAACCATCACTCACAATCAGCTTCATGTCTGCAACAGTGTGTTCTTTTTAGTTGTAACAGTGTGTGCTTTTTTTTATTTATAAAAAAAAAATTATCATGCAACTTTTTCCCTTAGACAACTAAATCCGTAGAAAAATTTGCCAAGTGTCACCACGAGGAAAACAAACCACCAAAAATTAACTACATACTTTGCACAAAATCGAATTTTTTCATGTCTGTAACAGTGTGTTCTTTTTAGTTGTAACAGTGTGTGCTTTTTTTTTATTTATAAAAAAAAAATTATCATGCAACTTTTTCCCTTAGAGAACTAAATCCGTAGAAAAATTTGCCAAGTGTCACCACGAGGAAAACAAACCACCAAAAATTAACTACATACTTTGCACAAAATCGAATTTTTTACTCTGCATATGCTTTGCACTTACTTACGAACAACAATGCAGAGCTTCTAATGAAAATTGATATTGAGGCACAAAAATTAACACTAAAATGCACAATAATTTTTGGATTGAGCTTTCTTTGTGGAACATGATGAAATTGATAGCAATTCAACTTAGCTGGTCATGCATATGAAGACTGAAGAATTCTTTTGAGCTTTGCTAACTTTTTCGAGACCAAACTCAACCACTGCAGCTAAACTTGGCTTGTTTGTTTTTGCTTTAGAGATCTACTAACTGTTGGTATTTTTTGAGGTAAATAGCATTCCGATATCCGGCTAACAAGAACAAATCACGATCCAAAAAACAAACCCATGTCATATCAAGTGGCCAATATGGCTGTTGACTGGAACTCGGTAACCCAAAGTAAAATCCTTGATGACTTGAACAGATTAGAGAGCTTTAAGGCCACAAGAAAATATCAGTATATAATGCAGTCAGGGCTCATGTAATGCATGCTGACAATCCAATAGCAACACTACCCAAGATAATTGTAAGACACATTCAGGCTAAGGACGGAATTGGCTGTCAAAAAATTGCCTTGATGATTCACAATTCACAAATATCATCAACACAGCAAATGGAAGCCCAAACACATTAAATTTGGTCCACGTCAGACAGCTAGAATCCACATCAAATCACAGAATTCTCCCACTCCTCTTTGATCCAAATAAATATTGACTATGTTCTTGATCTTACAAGCCATTGTAGTGAAATTTGCTGATTTTTTTATTCCTTTATCTCAAAAAGAAAGACAGGGAGGTTATTAAAAAAAAAAGGTAAATCTAGAGGTTCGCATATGATTGAAAAAGAACTTTGCCCCTACCTGAAAATTTTCTACTAATAAAATCAGTAATGCGCTGTGATGATTTATTAAGTAAATAAACAGAGCGCATGATCAAATATGACATCTCCCATAATGCCAAAACAGTCAGTATTCCAGCTTGTTGAACTATTTCAATCGTTCTTCGTCTCAAAATTTCACATCCCTTCTAGTTTTATATGGAAGAAAATTACTATCCCGGGTCAAATTAAGGCTCCCTTAATCAAACAACCCACAAAATGGCCAAAAATATAAAGACAGAATTAACTAGAAAATCTTACATCTTCAACCCAGCAACCAACAAACTCCATTTAAACATTTCAGTTTAGCAAAAAAACAAGCTACAATAACAGAACCAAGAAAATTTTCTTTCCCCAAAAAATCAAAAGAAGGAAGATTACCTATCAGCGCGGAGGCAAGCGATAATCCCAGATTCTTGAATTGCTGATAAAGCATCCAAGGAAGAATTGGTGTGACTGTGAGGCACTGAAATAAGGGAAGAAGAGGTTTGAAGAGAGCATTTTGATGAATGATGAAAATTTTGAGAAGAAGGAAGTTGTTGAGTTGCAGAAATTCGTGGGCTTAGAGCAGAAAGAGCTAAAGCTGACATTAATGAATTCATGGCCGTTGCAGATATTATCAAATTCCTCGCACTGTGGACTGTGGAAGAAAGTAGAATTTGAATAGTGTGATTTTCTTTTTGAGAGAAGAGAAAAAGACCGCAATTTTGTCATTTCATTAAGTTTAACAGCAGTATCATATCACTACAAATACATTTTCAAAATTATTTTTAATTATTTGGGTTTAAAATATTGTTATGTGGAAAATTTTCATAAAGGCATGATAAAGATAAAAGTTACAATATTAAGGAGGGCATCAGTTTTATAAAGTCATTATTGTGAATAATCTAATAACGTTTTGACTCAAATAAGACTATTTTATCCTCGTCTTCTTAAAAGAATGGTAGAGAATTTGCTCTTCTGACCTCAATCATTGTATATAGATAAAAATTCTTGACCTAAAAAAAGTTCCAAACTGTTAACCCACTGTCCTACATATTACATTCCATGAAGACTTTTCTGGATACAAATATCAACCTCAATCCCAGTAGAAATGCTTCTGACGCATGGCTATGGCCATTTCTCAATCTATGGAATGATACACTTGGATTTTGGTTAAACACATTCCATAAAACTGAAAAAACCAAGGATAGACAATATTAATGACTACTGATATATTCCCTCCATTCCAAAATAGATTTCGTTGGAAGAAAACTCATTTTTTCAAAATATATGTTGTTTTTATATTTCGAAGCATGTTTTGTCAATTTCTTTCAACATTATTTCTATATGGGAAATTGTAATTATGTTTAAAGTAAAAGTATATTAAAACTAAATAATATTGGAAATAGAATTCCGTTGAAAATAAATGAGGGTAGATTAGTATTTTAACCAATTATTTATTGTGTTCTTAAACTTTGTGCAACTCCCCCAACGACATCTATTTTGGAATGGAGGGAGTAGTATTTACATGTGAATGATGAACCAAGCAGTAATGAATTCAGGATATTCATTATCATTTCAATCCTGTTCCTAAAGCAAAACCAAGCGGTCCCTAACAAGTACTACTTTAACCATCACGAAATAAAAGGTGGAAGGAACGCAGGAAGTTAAAACTTCAAAGCCAAAAGATTTAAATGTACAGTAATAAAAGGGGCTGGATTGTAGACTTGTGAAGTAATAAGTTCCAGAACTTCAACGACTTCAAAATGATAATGAAGAGAAGAAGCAATATGATAGCTGCAGACATCTGACTCAAAGCTGGCCTGTATAAATTTCATATCCAGATGTCGACGGAGTTACAGAGCGTAGTCTGATCGAAAAAACATATGGAACAGCAGGAACAAGGAAGTCTTCATGAACACTGGGTGACCAACTATCATCTCCACCCAAACCCATATGTTTATGATCAAGATGAACCTGCATCATAAAGGACTAAACCTCTCAAAACTCACTAAGAAAAGGGTCGACAAAATAACAAACCGAAGATGTAAAAACTGACACCCCCATCAGATGAAAATGGAAAACAATTCAATACAAGTGCCTATGCCTTGGGTCTCTTTCCGGAAAGAGGAATTGAGTTGCATAAAGTGATGGAACCTTTCAATCATGTAAGCGTTCTAAATTTTGGACTTATGCAGTAAAAATATTCAAATTGGGCCAGCAGCAAGCATTATAGTCCAGAATAACAGCCCAGGGAAAGTATTATGCAAGTACTGTCTGGGGCCTAGTGCTTTATCAATAAGCAGACATGTTTGGAATAGGTCCTTAATGATTACTAACCTCGATTTTGTTTCCTTTCTGGAGCTCGTCATTGTGTGTTGCCTTTTCAAGTTCAGCAGTGCTATAGTAACTTGCATTCATCTGCATTGGTGGGGATCCTCCATATACGGAAGCATACAATCCATAACCATCCTTATTATGAAATGTAACCCATCTAACATCTGCCCTACCAGAACATTCTCCAGGAACAATATAAGGCACATGCATATCATCCACGATCTTCTCATATACACCCACGTTGGCAGCAGCTTTCCTATCAGGATAACATTCAAATGGTCCGCGTCCATACCATCTTATATGTTGCATCGATTTGTCCAAGTGAAATTCCACTCCAACCCGCGGCAAAGGTGGAAGATGCGAACTTGGTTTGACATTGCATTCCAATATGACATCACCAGACCCATATATTGAATATACCAAATCAACCTTGAATATGACTTGAGACTTTTCTGTTTCTGATGAGGTACTCTCAGATTTCACTATTCCATGAAAGACAACAGCTATTTGGATAAGGTGATCTGTCATTTTCTGAATAGTACAGCTCTCAGTGAGAAAGATAAGCTTATCAAGATTGGCAGCTGTCCACTTCGAGACGTAGCTCTCATCTGCACCTCCTTTGTCATTATCTATTGGTGCCCGCCAAAAGCATGGGATAATACCATCTTCCATAACTGAAACTCCTTCGACCTGCGAGCGAAAACTATCCAATTATAACTCAAAAGGACTTACAGAGCTAGCTTATAGCTCCTGCTTATAATGCGTCAGCGTGCCTTTGTGTGCTTTCGGCTAAAGGTTTACAGTTTGAACCAAATTTTTCACCGGTTAGGGAAAATACCTTCCAACTCTCAATCAATCCTGTCTGAACATTGACTTTGATTTCCCACGAGTCACGCTGTCTAATACTGATTGTATTATTAACCACTTCACTTAGGAGCATTTCTTTGGTTTGAATTATCTGAAGGCATCACAAGTTACAAGCTCGATTTAGAGACTAAAACAAAAGAGGGGAGCATTGTTAGAACTAATTGATGTAGGGCATACTTACATGAGGAATAACATCTCGTTTAGCCGGCAACTGAATTTGAGTGCACGAAATGACAAGACCAGCATCACTCCAGCGTGTGGGAGACAAAAGCTTTGCAGTGACTGTTACGTAAACTTCCAAGGCATTTAAAGAAGTGTACAGATCGTACCATGGAGTAGATTGCCAACTTATTTCATAAGACCTTTGAGGTCCTATTATTGGCACTGTGAGTATTCCCGAACCAATTTCAAAGCCATCGCCATGGAGTATCCATTGGAATTCAAACTCTTCAGTGGTAGTAAAAAAGAACACATTTGTGATCTACAAGATTATGGTCCAGAAATTAATAACAAAACACCGGCATGGACAACAGATTAAAAATAAAAAAAAAATAAAAAAAAAACTACCTTGAATATGTCATCGACAAAGGAAACCTTGATTGGCTGGTACACAAATTTAACCTCTGAGGAAACAATTGGCAAGTAGAACAGCAGTTACTTTATGTGACTGAATAACTGATAATGTCAGGGGAAAGGGGATGTGGGAGTAATATTATAGGTCTGTAAAACAAGCAAGGGAGTAGTAAAGCCACCGTGGATAGCAGGATGAAGGCTTCGATCTGGCCATAGAAGACCATTTAGACAGAAGTTCAAATCATTAGGCATGTCACCAAAATCACCACCATACGCCCAATGCTTGCTACCATCAACATGTTCCTTCAGCAATCCCTAAACAAGTACAGAAAAATACATAAACTATCTTAAACATAAAGAGTTAAACAACATTCTAAAGTGTTCTGATGCACTAACAGTATGGCAAAACTAAAGATTGATTAGCTTTGGTGGTTGGAGGTAATGCGGGAGAAATACTGAATTAAGTTATGGCATAAAGATTACTAAAGTGAGTTATGTCAGTCCCCTATAATAGTTCTTCCAAAAATTCTGTTATCAGGTTTATATTAGATTAGGAAGTGGGCCACAAACAGTACAAAAATAAAATATTTTGCAATAAACCATTTGGAGGACTAGGCTCTTTATCAAATGCAACGCGTAAGGTTCTATTCAACTGAAAATCATATTACTGACATGAAAAGTAGTCAGATTTTCTTCAGTTATCCAACAAAGCGATAGAACTGTTATTAATATTAACAAAGGTGCCCATCATGCTTGCACCTTCCTGGTCTGGTAAGCAATATTGAAACGATGTTTATAGACTTGCGAGAGTGTAAAACAAAGCTTTACAATTAGCTTGTTTTATTAAAAGCAGGGCAAACCAGCCAAACCAAGCACCAGTGAGATTAAATGTGAGAAATTAACACTCTAGAGAGGTGAAATGGTCCAGTCCACTCCAAATACGAACAGGCAGGAAGGAAAAGAAAGTTGCCATTACGTTTGCCCCATTGTGGTCCGGTAGATGTAAGATAGGGGCTGGAAAATAAAGATCATGGTTGCAAAGGAAAATTATAAATTGATTAGTTCCCCATGGTAACAATAAAATTAGGAAAAAGTCTCTATGAATCTCTTCGTGAATTGCCACATGCGCAACGTAACTGATGCAGGAAGGTTTCAGAGGTGTAGGTAGCTTCCTGTTAGGTTTTAGGAAAATAGCTAGAATCATCTTAGAACTAAGTTTCGTTTTAGTTTACTTTCCTATTTTCTATATTACATTAATTAAGTTAGTTTTGCGAATCCTGGTAGGTTAAGGAATAAGCCAGAAATCTTTATAAACAGGGAGGTTCTGCAGCTGTTGTGATGGACATTTTTCTGATTTATATAAAATTAAGCTTTTGAAGCTTTCAAAGACTGTCTTTCTTGAATTCCCTACAGCTATGGTTTGCCCATTTCGTTAACTTTCAATTCGGTCCCCTGTTCCCATCATAACTCAAAAAATATCAACTTGTGATGAACTCTGTTCAGTTCTGGACTTATTATCTACTGGAGTATCATTGCTAACCAACTTACTCCAGCATGTCTGAGAAACCATTTCAAATCTTTGGTGCACCTACAGATTTACAAATTAAAAATGTAACAAGAAAAAAAAGCCAGAAGTTTGTGTTCCAGAATCACGTCTAGATTAAATGATCTTGATGCTACTCTCTTGTTTTTCATTTCATTATCTACAAGGAGGATATCTTGCGTCAAGAAAGTAATCCACCACTGGTTTTCCACATTTCAAACTTGATTGGTTGCATAAAGCATACACAAGATAAGTAAAGTAGATGGACTGTGAGGTAGATATGAAATCATGCGGCATTGACTAACATAATCCTGCTTTTGAAAATATGTTTCTGCTTCTAAGCTATATAACTTTACGTTTGACACACAAGAAAGCTACTTTAAGAATCATGAAAAATTTGGGTGAACATGAGACTGAAAACAACCACTAAATCACTCACTCAAGTTCCCAGTAGAAAACATGTAGACAAGATAACAGTAGATAAGAATATCGTATCTATAATACCTCAGTGTACATGTTCGGCTCTTCCTTTAGTAACTATAATACCTCTATTAGTTTTATAACTCATTATGACTTTATGATGGGATGGAAAATTATCACATCCAACGCATATTTTACCAAAACTGAGCAGTAGCAGCGGAGATATATTCCTTAAAAGAAACAACAATAAGAAACAGCCCCAATGTCTAGCTAAACAAAATCCCAGAGCACATGCCTATACATGAAGTTCCCCTCACTATACAGGAGCGTTTAGGGAAATTAAGACTATTTCATCTTGGGATAATCCAGATCAAAAAAAATAAAATCAAAAAAAAAAACCAGTAAAACGAAAGGAAAAAGGGGGGAAAATAAACAGAACTTGTAGAAGCTAGATGTAGAGGTAGTTTGTATAATACGGTAAGAGAAGAAATCATTTCTGGCGAGTAATAAAAAATACTTGCAAAGCCTGCGCTTAATTTTTGAAATAAGCCATGCAGTTCCATTATACCATGGAGAGCAACAAACACAAATGAGAAGCTACGGACAAGATTTAAGTATTGACTATAGTAGGTGGTAAGATTAATCAGGATTCCCAAACTATCTTTTCTTTTGATTCCATAGTTTCACTTTCTATCACTCATACAATTACTCTAAAAGGTATCCAGCTTCATAAATCCTTTTTTTTTTTCAATGCATAAGCTATCCAGACAAAGGAGAAACAACATTATTGTTTCTGCTTCTATTTTAGTAAGCTCACTCAAGTAAGCCCATTAATTGGTTAGTACTTTCTTGAAGACCATTCTAATCATATACTATGGTAAGACAAAAACAAAAGGTAAGAGAAAGAACAGGTGAACAAAGGTCAGAAAAAAGTAATCTGCACTACCAGGTCACATTCCAAAACATTTAAAAATTCAAACCTGATCAACCCAATCCCAGATGAAGCCACCTTGAAGACCAAATGTTGTATCAATTGCTTCCCAATACTCATGGAGGCTACCGTTGCTGTTTCCCATAGCATGGGAATACCTTCATTGTAAAATTTTTCCAGCAGAAAAATATGATTAGATCAAATTGGCAACACATAGATAAAGTATCCAACAATTAATTACAACAAAGACCAAAGGAAAAAACACCAGTCCACATACTCGCACAAGATCAATGGCCGTGTTTCAGTTGGATCTTCAGCAATCTTAACTATATCCCAAACACGCATATACATAGGACAGACTATGTCTGTTGAAGAGGTCCTGGAACCACCGCCTTCATAATGCAACACCCTTGACGCATCTCTCCCCCGTACCCAACCTGAATGATCCCAGAACAATGAGTAAAACCAAAAGGAAAAGATGAGTAAAAAAATAATTATCAGAGAGACCCCGTTGAAAACGTTGAAATCCCAAGTTTTTGGGACAGTTTTGAATCATTTTGCTTGATTGTGGACTTCAAGTAAGTTATTCGGAAATACAAACAAAGAACAGTTCACCATTCTCGCAAGCTAGAAAGCCTAGTGAATGGAATTCTTATCCGACGAACATGAACTAACATATTATTTGAAAAAGCAAACGTGCACACGCCCATACCAGCAAGTGCAGCATGATTAGACCCATAGCCAGACTCATTTCCAAGAGACCAAGATATGATTGAGGCGTGATTTTTGTCCCTTTCAACCATGCCAATAACACGATCCAGCATGCAAGAGGCCCAACTTGCTTCCTGAGTGGGATGCTTTATATATGCAGAGTCATGAAAACCATGTGTCTCAATATTTGCTTCATCAATCATGTACATCCCAAACAGATCACACAGCTCATACCATCGCGGATGTTGGGGATAATGACTGTTTCGAACAGCATTTATGTTGTTTTGTTTCATTAAAACCAAGTCCTACAAGAGTGGTAAAAGAAATACGGTTCAAGTGAAGCAGTACCAGAAAGTTAAAGTGAAAACATAGAGAGTTTGAAGTGGCCTAAAGCGGGTGTATTACCTTGACCATGCAGGATTCCAGATTAGTCTTCCCCAGAGCGGGATGATGTTCATGCCTGTTTACACCTCTTATTATCACTGGATGCCCATTTACAAGGAGCTGTTTTGGTGCTTTTGAAATTACCCGTATACCAACTTGACAAGACTCACAATCGATTATATTTCCAGATTCATCTTTCAGAGTAACAACTAGAGTGTAGAGATTTGGCTGCCAAAACCCCAATAGTCATACAGTGTTAGATCCTCATATGCATGATTCTGCCAAATACAGAAATATTAACTACTTGTGATGTAAATAAATGATCTAACCAAAAACTCAGAAATTCAGACTCCTTGATTTTGATCATGAACAAACTAAATTCAACTTTATTAGCGAAAAAGAGCACACTAGGATTTTTATTACAGATAGAGCAACAAAGCACGGCTTTTTGTGGCACTTACAACAGGAAAGGTATGGCTTTGTCTATGAATTGTGTTTTCACAATCTCTTCGTTCAAATAATTTCTATGTAGATGTAGAAACACCTTTACTTATGGTGGCACCACCATCTGAGAGCACTTGTGAACAAAACTTTTACCAAACTCCAAAAACAACAGGGAACGGAAGCACAGTTAACTGTAGGTGTAGGGTTATTGACCAAATAGCTAAACTAGGGAATATTCATTGATAGGAGCCCTCATTTTGTTATTCGGAAGGATGTCCTCAAATTTTCAAGCATTGCTGAAATAAGGCTCAAATAAATTGTTCATACTTCCAGGACTTCTAACATGTTTGTGCGTTAAAAAAAAGTTGCACAAAAAGATTTTATCTAGTTGAGCTCGCTTGCAACTGAATAATAGATATCTGTGGAACTGGAGACACATAACAAACACCTCAAACAATAACATCATGCAGAAAATACATTTCTATCTGAAATTCACAAATATGCTAGCAAATATATACAGAACAGAATATGAAGATTGAGGATCATAAGCATCTTACTTGCTCTGCGGACCAAAGCTTCGGCATAAGCAACTTTCCCTTTAACCGATACCCTTCGAACCCTAGATATCTGGAATACGATGAGCAGAGTTCTGAAAGAGCTACCCTACTAGAATGCAGATCAATAAGGTAATTGTCATCGCTGTTGTTCCAACTCCCACTATCAAATAAAGCTGCTTCAATCTTGAAGCGCGACAAAAAGTCCTCCTTGGATGTTTCTTTTAAACAATCAATTCGTACTTCCACCTGAAATTTGAGCAACAAGGAATAGCAGGCATCCCTTTCAGCTATCCACATGCTTAAAAGCATCAACAAATGCAGAAGAATAAATGGACGACGGCAGAGGAAGTGAAACTGTTCCCAAATAAATCATGTTGTAGCTTCACACTGTGAACTATATATATTTTTCACCATTCAACAGACCAAAAGTTGTTAAAAAATCGACTTTCCAATGTTTTAGAGTGAACTTTTTCGGAAAGCTGTGCTCAATCTTGTTTGTCACAATTTTACTTCCTTAATTTAATAGGAGTAGATCATGTTGATTCTATGGTTCAAGTCAAAACATGATCCATGTTGTTAAATTATTCAGCATTCGAGGATTTTGACGCTATGATTCATGACAAACGCTATGATTCATGACAAAAAATGATTCATAATGTGAAAAATGACATTTTCGGCCTATGACAATGCTTAAGGGCAAAAGGAAGAAAAGAAGTTGTTATTGCATTTGTTGACAAAGCTCGAGACCGTGAAGTCCAACCTTGGCGGTTCGCAATTCCAATTAGATTAAAAAATTGTTGTAATGTGCGTGCATTTAATCATAAAAGTCCTGGTTGATGTAAGTGGTCATGCATAAAGCCCAGTTCTGAAGGCTGGCCGATAAACCAAAGATATGCACAAAGTCTGGGACTTGTGTACACCAAATCATCGGTCGCCCAGAATCTTGGACTCAGACAAATCAGCTCTAATTTGATTTTTAAGAGGAGATTTCATCCCTCAGAATGGCAGCAACTTGAAACATGCCACTAATAATTACCTGAATATCAGCGGAAGAGAAGTTCTCTAACAAGCTTGATTGGAAAAAGTAATCTACGATAAAAACCTGCCAAAGATTTGTAGGAAAGATTAAGAAATAATGGTGACAGTAAAATCAGTTTCATAAAATTCTTATATCTACAAGTAATTAAATAACACAACAAAATAAAAAATCTAATTAAATAACATTGCGGATATTCATATCATGAAAGCTAATTACAAACCTTTGACTTAGCTAGGAGAAGGACATCCCGGTGGATGCCAGATAGCCACCAATGATCCTGATCCTCAAGATACGAACCATCACTCCATCTTAATACTTGGACAGCTAGAGAATTTTTCTGATCAGATCCACATTGATGACAGAAATCTGTAATCTCGAACTCAGCAGGTAATCTACTATCCTGACTAAATAGTCCAATCAAAATACGCATAGTAAGAATAGTAAATAAACTGAAACAGGGCAGTTGAAGTGATATTAATGTACATAGGAAAATATCACAGGCTTCTCACAACCAAATTTGGAACAACTAAGCATTTTATCTCATCATTTGGAATCGCCTATTTGCATTGTATCTCATCATTGTGTTCTTTTTAAAAATAGATTTCCATTTAGCATTACGTACATCATATCTTCATTTCTGATCTCTTTCCAACTGACTTCTGGTCCTCCCCTCTTTCTTTAACTTGAGTTAATAATTCTTCTTTCAATAAAATCTAATAGACTCTTCGTCCCAAAATCACTGTCGCGTTTGTTGTATTATTATAGAATGGGAGGGAGTAAGAGTTAAAGGGGAAACAGGTAAATATGAATAAAGCACACTACAGTTGATTTTTACATTTTGATTTTCCTTTGCTTTCTCAAGACTCCAATTTCCTAAATACAAACAGAAGTTGAAAGTTAAGGAATAAAATGGATAGTTGATAGTAATTGCAGTACGAGATGAAGTACACATATACGATCCCAATTATTCATCAGAAGAGAGCCCAAATTCTTTTTGGTATACCAAAAATGATTACCATAGAGGTGATACTATAATACACTTCCCATAGAACCTAGTGAAGGTATTTGACCAGTAGACCTTTCAAAAGACCTGACTTACTGCCTAATAAATGAATGAGGTATGAGATATATGCTGGGAAAGATGCATCAATCAAGGATATTTTGTTACATTCCACATGCACCAATATTATCAACGAAACTTCCAAAAGATGCCATTTAGCATAATAGTGAGAGGACAAGATAATTTATAAATAAATATACCAGAACTTGACCATAAATATGGGACAGGAAAGTGCTACTTTGCACTGGCACAATACACATTAGGTAGGCTGAACAGAGTTTTATTCAAAAGAGAATGAACAAAATATTGCATACAACTGGAAACAGTCTCTCACAAGATACACCCAGGGAGAAAAGGCAAAATCATCCAAGAAAAATTTTAAAATACTTGCAAATGTTTGTAAATAATAATGATCAAACAGGGACAATTTTATGCCTCACATACACTTGGAACACAATTTCAGTACCAATTTAACTCAGATTCCCCATTGAATATCTGATAACTAACAAGCAACATTATGCCACAAAACCTAAGCTGTTGACCATCAAACTTACAAACGGAAGGTTAAATTGCTTATCAACTGTATGAGTGAGAAATGATAAAATATAAAGTAACTATGAAAACCTTAGCATGAAAAACATGACTAAAGTTGTGAACAGTTGACAGCACATGATGATTTTGAACAAGGATAAAAGGACTTATTTCAAAAGAAGGTGAACAAGATCAAAAGTTTTGTAGCTGGTATAATATAATATATAAATTTCAATCAATTTAAAATTCTAGATCCACTTCAGATATTTGCTTGGGTTTATATGCATCCATATAGTAGTAAGCTTTTCTACAAGGATACCATTACACACTTGACAAGAAAATAACAAGATAAGCTAAATTAAAATGAAATTTTGCGTACCTATATCCAACAAGGACACCATTCACCCAGGCAAAAAATGCAGAATCAACAGCTTCAAAATGAAGAAATATCCTCCGACCTGATATATGAAACAAAGTCCATGTCAAATTTGTCAAAAAAAAAAACCTACATATAATCTTTGTAAATGAGAGTAGCGAACTTGAGCGCATAAAAGACAAAGGATGAACAGCTTTAGATTAAAATTTTGTGGTGGTTCATTCAATACAGCGACTCTTTGACAAGTACAGCACTTCACATAGAAATGTTGGTTTCTGGCCTAGAACCTTCACTTTCAATTTGAATGCTATTACTACCTAGTGCTCATAGAGTTTCAAATACGTTGCACATCTTTCTATGAAGGGGCAGCGTCTTGTTGATTTTCATGAATCATTAAGCTTATTGAATATTTTCACTGTGCAAGGACAACAATATCTCAACTCTCGTAATGCAGACTGCTCAATATATGATATTGCTTAGTGGAGGCCCAATTGAATTTACAAGAGAACTGGCAAGAGGTGCTGTCATTAGAACAACATGCCCTGTCAACCAATCTGCTGCAACTTACATGAGAATGCTACCCACCCAAACAGAACGCCTAGGAAATTGTTTTCACAAACAAAGCAGCAGCCCAAGAAAATTCTCAATGGTTTATTATGGACATCAAGAGCTGCAGTGAAGATGTTTGGGCCAGCTTTTTGTAGAGCTGTTACAAAAGGGGAGAATTAAATTGCGCCACAAGCTCCAAGCAGGAGACTGATGGGTGAAGTTCAGTGGGCCTCGTTTTTGCACACATTTCCCATTAGTAGGGTGGAATACGTCACAACATTCAAGGGCAGGACAATCAACCGCCATATATGAATAACCGCAAATTGCAATCTTGTACGATCTCAAATCTATTCTAGAAGGCATGACGACAGCCCTGTTTACAAGGAAGGAGTAATGTCAGGACTCTTAACGTTATGAGTTCCTTTTATGGTGTCTTTAGCAGCTATTCCTTTATGATTAGCTGAGTGGCTAGCATTCTTACACAGTAGGATAGTCTTGCTATATAGCGAAGGATTATGAATGAATAAAATGAATTATGGTTCTTCCCCTATACTTTCCCTTCCCCCTCCCTTACGGATCTCTATTTTCACCCTCTGAAGGCCTGAATTCTGTCCCCTTTAACTCGTTTCTCTGCCATTCTTATTTCTTTTCTTGTAAATCTGATTATTACTTTGCTTAGTACCCTAGGATCATAACAAAATCCTTAATTACTGATCTCCTAGCTCTTTTTGGTCTGCATCAGAGGACAAAAACATAATTTAGGACAGTGCAAAATGGAAAGCTCTGAACATGAAACTGTCTGAACAGGGTCTTAGCTTGATTCCAATAAACTTTTGGAAGAAACCACAAGCTGGTCACACAGAATTCTCAATTCAAATCAACTCTCTAGCATATACATTAACTCTTTGTTTATTCAAAAAAGATCACACAACCGTGAGTACAGTCAACATTAAGGTTTTATTCTTGTCATCATGTCTAATGGCCATTTTCTGAGGCTGTGGACCTTTCGACTGCTAGGTATCATAATGTTGACTGATTAACAATGGCAGGTATGGAAAGGGATTTGATACATGCAAGTGAAGAATGAACTGTTCACTAGTTCAACTTCTACTAAATAACAAGAAAACTAGTTAGCCAAAGTTGAAAAAAACAACAGAACAACATTACAAAGAGCATGATGATGCAGCATGCATGCGTTAGTTAAAAGATCTTTATTAAAATTATGAATAGGCTATAGAAATCCAGAAACAATTGTCAGAAGGAGGATAAACTCGCTAATAAGCCTGGTTGAAAACAACTACTCTTTTAGACATCAAAGGAAATCATTTGTCAATCTTTTTGTGGAGAAACCAAATTGTAAACCGATTTATATCAGATATTCACCCTTACTTTCTGGAGTAACGAAGGATATTACATAGAATCAACTCCACAGATAATACTTGTCAAAGGCTCAACATGGGATCAGGAATTCAAGAATTTCTTTCGAAGCAGAGACTTGCTGAAATACACTTAAAAGCCAATTAAAACCTGACTAGCCCCAACTATTAGTTTAAATAATTAAGTTATCCAGCATGTTGGTGGCTTTAATTAATCCTAATGAAACTTGAGCATGTTCAAAACTTCTTACTTGTGAATTTCCTTGAGTTCTATGTACCCTATCACTGGGTTAAAAAGTTTATTACTTTTTAAGAAAATAAATAAGTACAGCAGCATAACATTTTCTACTGCATGAGGAAAACTAACTCTAAGGATGCATATAGAATAATATGAAACTATGTATGCCTAGCTCATCCTTAAATGGTTTAGTTATACTTCTCAAATATAGTACTCATGTGAGGCATATAACATCAAAAAAACAAAGAAAACCGATAAATAAACATATGAAGCATTAATCATGGATTATTTAGCAAACAAAAAAAAAAAATGAATACACAAAATAGTGGCCATTGTATAGCAACCTTAATATTTACAAAGCTGAAACAAGGAAGCTCACCTTCCCATTCTCTAGGAAGCAAGAAGTCAGTCCGGTAGCATCCACAGGGATTATTCTCAGGTACTTTAGGTGGGCTAAGAGGAAACGGATACACTGTGTTTGTATAGATTGGGCAATCGAAGCCATGCAATTGCCAATTTGATGGAACTGATACAATCAAGAGTAAAAACAAAACTCAGAAACGAACAGGTAAATCATCTAAATCACCCCCAACATACATAATCGTATATCTCTATCCACACAACTATAATTCAATCATGAAAATAATATAAACAATACTGTTAAGTCTGTTTCGGTAAGTCTACATCACACCACAAGAGAAGTGGTGGCTTAGAGGATATTTAACCATCAATGTTTCATTCTTCTCTCAGCTACCACTCAGTGCAGAACAATAGCTACATTGAAACATAGCAACATAAACATTACTGATTTCCATCAACCCTTGAAAGTTTCTAAACAACTTATCTGAAAGAAGTCAATATTTTTAGTATATTTCATGCCTTTAAAAAGCTGGACTCATTTTACCAAATAATGGTATGGATTTGAGCAATAAATGCTGAATTGAATCATCGATTTGAAATGGCAAAAACAGTGCACATCTTAGTCATGAATGGGAGCCTATGGAGAACTAGAAGGTAAAAAAACATGGCCTACATGGTAATACCTTCTTCTAATCCCTAGTAGAGCAACAAAATAAAAAGAGGCTCCAAATGTCTCTTCCAAATAAGGAAACTGATGTTACTCAAATTTTTAGATTAAGGTAGTTATGCTTCCTCAATGGAACAGTGGTGATCAAAACATAGAGTCACTCAAAGAATCACATCTATCTAGAGGTAATAATGAAAATACTACTTAGGGTTATAAAGAAGATTATGGGCTAATGATTTCATAGCAGGCCAAATGGATCCACACAGACCTAAAGATTAGCTAATTGATCTTGTCAACTAATGCCTTTTGATATGATTCAGGAAACTATGTGGGACATGAACTTTTGGCGAACTTAAAGAAAAATGAATCATGCAAAATGGTATTAGTCATTGCCAATCCACAAAGAAAATATAATAAGTGAGAAGTCACTATTTGTCTTAAAAATCAATTAAAGCCTAGCCATCTGAAACTTCAATTACCATTAACAAGACAGAAAAATCAGGGAGATAAAAAAAAATTGGTATAAATGCTATACCTAACAAACCCCCATAGCCAATTATAAAAGCAACCACAGCTTTCCAAATGCTTATTTCATGCAAGCATATACAAAAGACGACTGCAATCACTTGGACACGAGCCATATTTATATCCGGATTCCATAAATTTTAATGTGAGGCCTGATCACCACTGTGTAATTTCTTCTTCTTCCATTTTTTTTTCTGGGTAAAACCACTGATAAAGCATAAGTATGAAACATTCCCAAATTAAAAAGACAATAAGCATAGCCCAAAGAAATGCTTTGAACAATAAAGAGGAGTAAACATCTAAAAGACTTGTCTCATAGCTACCTGGTATAGTGCTCCATGCAGAGTCTTCAAATCCAGAATCATGAAAATTCACTGGAGCATTTTCAGGACTCTGAACAAGAACAAATCTCCAGTAACCAGCCAATGATTTGATGAAAGGCAAACCCTTGACCCAGTGAGCTGCACAATCTAATGACTTAGATACTGCACTATCATCCCAAACTGCGGATTCGGAAACCCGAATATCCACTTTATTGCGCTGATACCAGTACCTAAGAGCTCCTGAAAATTGCAAAAATGTCTCAGAATTACAAAATCAATCTTTGTCTTTTCCCCCCCTCTCTGTCAGCATGATCATCAAGTGGAAAGTATTCAGACAAACAACTTCAGTGCGCCTAGATCCATAAATTTCAACGTACTGAAATATGAATTGGGATTTGAAACAAAACTTCAAATTGATCAAATTACTCAAAATTCCGTTGAGAATGGTGAATTTTCGGGCAATATGAACAGAGACTCACCTTCCTCTGATTCATGACATCGCAAAGGAACATGAGCATCCCTTTTTCTCCACTTGAAAAAGGAAGGATCTTCCCAAACCTTGTAACCATTATTGCTTGGAGTAACAACAATCGGACCAATTGTGGAAACCATCTCCAAAATCACTTCTATACTATCCGCCAGTAGGATCGTTTAGGAAAGGCAATAATTGTTCCTGCATTCAGTCAGCATTCTTCTATATCGGGCACTGTCTTCTTACTCAATTTGTTCGATATTTCCCAAAGGGGCTGCCCCCTAAATTATTTATCTGCTTCACTTTTGGCCCTCCGACTTGTTTATGATACTTTTTCGATCCCTTAACAATTTAATTCAGTACTCCCTTCCCCTATTAAAATGGTAATTTAGGGCAACATTTTACTTCATGATATTGTATTGTTTGCTCATGAATAGTATTTTCAAAACGTTCTCGTGTGCAAAAGACACTAAGAATCCAAAGGGGAAGAGCTCATTGGTTAATAATTGTGACATGAATTGAGAACGAATGCGCTCATTATGCAAGTTTGCAATTAGAATTGAGGAGTTTTTCAGATTGTGGATGAACAAATCGAAGAGGCTTGCATATCTCCTCAATAGTCGTAATATTCACTCTTCCATTAAATTCTACTTATGTAATTGCTTAAGTAGTTGTAAGTACCATCATATTAAAAAAAAACTTTAATAAACATCTTGGAATTTATCGATCTCACGTAATGACATACTTTAAAAAAGTATTATTAGTTTATATTTTTATTTTTAGTTCAAATTGTACTAAAAGCGAAACTCCAAACTTGACCATAATTTGGGACAAGAGGGAGTATCAAATAAAAAATATAGATAAAGTAAAACTTTTCAAAAACTATAAATGAAAAGACTAAAATGTCCAAATTGTCCCTTACATTGGGCCTACTTGAATTTACGTCCCTAACGTTAACATTTCAATATCGTAGTCCCAAACATTATGTTTTCAAAGTAAAAAAAATCTTGGTTTTCCTTTTTTTTGGGAAAAAAAAATTTTTGAATTATTTACTGTAACTCGGTAAATTTTTTAAATTATAGTGGGTCCAAGGTTAAAAGTACAACATAATCACCATTTAAGGTTTACTATAGCGGTTAGAGTAAAAAAAATCTTAGTTTTTCTTTTTCTTTTTTTTTAAAAAAATTAAATTTTGAATTATTTACTGTAACTCGATAAATTTTTTAAGTCACAGTGAGTCCAAGGTTAAAAGTGTATTATAATTACTATTTAGGGTATACTGTAGCGTCAAAGTAAAAAAAAAATCTTGGTTTTGCTTTTTCTTTTTTAAAAAAAAAATTAAATTTTGAATTATTTACTGTAACTCGGTAAATTTTTTAAGTTACAGTGAGCCTAGGGTTAAAAGTGTAACATAATTATCATTTAGGATTTACTGTAGCGGTCAGAATAAAAAAAATCTTAGTTTGCTTTTTCTATTTTTTTTTAAAAAAATTGAATTTTGAAGTATTTACTGTAACTTGGTAAATTTTTTAAGTTACAGTGGGCACAAAGTTAAAAGTGTAACATAATTATCATTTACTGTGTATTTAAAGTAAATAGTAAATGAAAAAAGTAATTTTAAAAAATAATGATAAATTTTAAAATTGTATAATAATATTTTTAATTAATAAATAATATTTTAACAATTAAATAATGAAATTTGAATTTTAAAATATTTTTAATGATTTAAATTTAATAAAATTTAAATTAAATTAAAAGACAAAAATACCCCTGATTCCGACATGTCAACGGCTGGAAACAGTAAAATGAGACCAAAAAAGTGTGAAAACATAATGTTTCGGGCTACGATATGGAAATGTTAATGTTAGGGATGTACATTCAAGTATGCCCAAATATAAGAGACCATTTGGACATTTTAGTCAAATGAAAAATAAATGAGAAAAATAAAATGACAAAGTTCTGCGTCTTCTTCCCATCACGAAACATTAATTACGGAGATCTTGTTGTATTGGAAGTCCAATAGCTGGTGGTATGGAATTTAGTCCCATATACATCCCTCGAAAATGTTCCAAACTCATTACATACGTTAGCCCATGAACATCACACACGGATAGATTGGTCATTACGTACGTTAGGCCCAAAAGTGGGATATAATTTGGGAAAGAGCATTAACCTGAAACACAAAAAAGCTGAAATGCAACATAAACTCGAAAGCTTTGCCGATATAATTCTTTTTAAAGAAAATTATATATATAAAAAAAAGATAATTTAAAATAGATGTCTACTACGTAGTAAACAAGGCAAATGATTCTGCCAAAATGAAAAATAGCATCCAAAATAATTTTTACCAAAACAACCTCATTAATTAAACCTATTTCATATTTATAACTTCCCTATGAATTACTGCATATTAAACAAGACATTTCTTTTTTTTTCACAAAAGAATTAAACAAGGCAACCGAATTTTTAGCCAGTAAATTAATTTCTCACTTATCCCATCTTAGCACGGGCGTAAAGTTGAACACAACATTTTCAGAGTTTATTTCTCCCAATTTTTTTTTATATATTACTAACTAGTTGTTAAACCCGCACGATGTGTGAGGTTTATTCATATACATCTATGAAAAAATAATTGAAATTTTTAAATGTGATAAATATAAATAAAGTGATTGGTTTGTAATAATAAATATTAAATGAGCAAAATTAAATTATGTCAGTGTCATAAGTAAAGATCTTGCATCTGTATAATGGCAGTAGTCTATAAATTTTATGGAGAAAATGTAATAACACAATGAGTATAAATATTATCCTTATCCTTATCCTTATACTTAATATAAAGTCACGGTAGGCAAGAAATTAAATGTCCAAGAAATATTCAAGGACCACCTTCAAAGCGATCTCGTCTGTCGAATGGGGTTGATATGACATCAGCGACTTATTAAGGACAAAATCGAAATTTCATAAATACAGTTCCTCACTAAATTTTAAATTTAAAACCGGGCAAAAACGAAATTTCACAAATTCAGTTTATTGTTTGGTTCGTTTTTTCGTTCATTTTTTCAGAATTTTTAATTAATATCTATCACATCCCAGCATACCTTTTTACATTCCCAATTCACCTTTTTAGATTTCCAATATACCTTTTTATATTCTCAATACGAAAAAAATACACTCAGCGACTTATTCGAGTTAAAAAAAAATTCATAAATTCATCCCAGTCCAAAAAAAAAAATAAAATCCGTAAGCTCTTGAGAAAAAAAACCCTAATCATCCAAAAAAACGACGTCGCTTTTGCTTCTCCGTGATATTTTGTGGTAAAAAACCCCAACCGATAAAACGACATCGTTCTATACTTCTCAGTAATTATAACAAAATTCCTCATTTGCCCTCGTCATCCACCTTGTCTACCTCACCCAGAAACATTTATATAAAAGAAAAACCCAAAAGGCTCCGCCTCCACTGCCACCCAAAAAAACTCGACGTTCACCTCATCTTTCTCTCCCAAAAAAAAAAAAAAAAACTAAGACAATGCTATCTCTGCCTACACTAGCACCCATCACCGTTCGTCGACCTCCTTATTACCACAAAAACCACATTTGGCATCAGATCCATTACGTCGAGCCGCCGAAGGAGAACAACGGGATCAGTTGTCGAACAACCATCTTCACTAAAATTGAACTTCCTCTGAACAAGAAGAAAACAATCGCTGAATTTTTCAAATAATCGAACTTTGCAGCGTCGTCAGAATTAGGAAATTCATGTCTATGAATATAGATTTGGAATACAAATCGAAATTTATGAATCTAGATTTGGAATACAAATAAAAAATTCTCCAAATTTGTATACGGATTAGAAATCTATGAGTCGGGCTCTTCTCCTTCAAGCTGAAATCTCTTACGCATGAATAAGCTAGATTAACAACACCGGATAAACTCGGACTACCGGTTGTAGCAAAACACCTCTTCTTCCACTTCTTTTCCGGTCCATTAAGGTATCTTTCCGATTGATTGAGCTATTATTGTTATGTTTAATATGTTTTCTTAGTTCCTTTTCTACTTCATTTTCTCCACGATTATTGTAAGCTTCTTTTGATTAAAAAACTATTCTATTATTTGGGCTGTTCTGTTTTTGTGCAACATCGTTTTTTTCCATATGTGCTATGAACTTTTTACAGTTGTTAATCGTTATTGTAATTCTAAAAGATCCTCCTTTTATGTTTTTGGTTTAAATTCTATGGATTGCGCCCTTTTTAAGCAGATGGAGGGCTTCTCAGGGGGACAACCAGGTGGTGGTTTTTAAGCAGATTCTGTGAATTTGGCGGATGGCATCTTTCTGCTCGCCATTGACGACAACAACCGATGCCTCTTCATCAACCTGCGTTGCTACGTGGTTCTCTACAGGATCAGCTTCAAACACCACGTCGCCACCGCCAAATTCAGCCCTGACGGTAAGTTTATCGCTGTAGTTGTTGGTAAGCTCCTCCAAATTTGGCGCTCCCCTGGGTTTGAAAGAAATTTTTCCCGTTTGAGTTTATTAGGACATTTTCAGAAAATTAGAATTTAATTTTTCTGATATTCATAATTTAAAGCATCCGCAATATTTGGTCCAAGTAGGTAGGCATTACTTTCATCTGATATGTTGCCTTTCAATAAGGAAAATGTATTTCTTTACGTATTTTGGAGATTACGAAAGAGCTGATAGTTCATCATTCGTCTTATGCAAGAGTTAAAAGAGAGGATTTTGAAGTTTGTGGTGCTGAATTCTTACATTGTGGGCACACATGAATCAGGGTAATTTGCACTCCCTATATTATCATTTGATAAAGATTTGTAGACCATAATCTTTTGAGTTTTACAGGTCAATTTGCCCTGAAAATATTTTTTATTATTGTTCAAAGCTGCATTAACATTGGTAGATATATCTACATATGTGTGCATATCCATGAGATTTTTTGTCATCTTCTATCATCATATTTGATATTTTGGTCTTTTATGGTTTTAATGGTCAATTTAATTCGGTTAATTGATTTTGGTTTTAAAAATTTAAAATTTTATGGCTACTTTGGTCCCAATTTGTGTTGTTTACTCCTTTGGTTTTGAGTTTCTTGGATATCAATATAGTTTAGTAGATTAATGCATACTTTTATAATCAACATGGGTAGTTAAGTTCTTTTCTTATTCTTTAGGTACAATTTACTTAATTCGTCTGGGTTCTCCATCGTGACCTTATTCTGGGACTTTGGATTGATCTTACCTGCTAAATTTACTAAATTTATTGCTATAGGCTAAGTGATTTAAGATTTCTTTTATGTGTTGTATGGGTCGTTCGGACTTAGCAAATATATGTTTGCTTTTGGGCAATATCGTTTCTTTGATCTAGAATTATTATTTTTTATAGTCAATTCATCTGGTCATACATATCCCATCTTTTGAACCAAGTGATCTGTTGCTTAGGGGAGCAAGGATTGGCATTCTGTACGAGACGTCATTCGCAGGTAGATATAAATATTCATTATTCGGGTGGAATCTCGAACGTGTATGTTATTCCCCTAAATTGTTGTGAGGTGTATTGCTGGAATTGAAGAACGCGACATAGATAAAATGATTTTATCTGGTTTTTTCATTAATTGTTTCTGTTAGTTTACATCATAAATTCTAAATTTTTATTGAATGAACTGTTTGTTTATTCTGCATTATTGCAGGAGAACCTTGCAAGGTGTTCCACTGCGACTTGAGAGCATGTCATTTCTTGAGAAGATGATTGTCGTTGAGCATACCGTGACTTTTTTCTTGCCAATACGTGAAGCAAAAAATGAATACCTTTCTTCTAATTCTCTGGTAATATTTTTTGGATGGTTTTTGCTGATGATTTGATATATAATTACGTATTTGATTTTTGTTTGACGTGGGCTTTCTATGTTTGCACTCCAGAAATTCATAGATTATGCTGGAGAATTTTCGCATGAGTTTGTTGATCGATGGAAACATGTATGATTGTTTTTATTGAGAGCTTGTTGGCTTTTGTTTTGATATGAAGTGGTAGTAGAGTTAAATAAATTTGATTTATTCGGTATAAAAAATTTTGGGACACACAAATTTACGTCAAATGTTGATTGTTAAACCTTTGATATTTGGACTTCGTTGGGGAAAATACCCACTTTTCCCTTTGTTGTGGAAAATAATTTTTGTTTACCACCACTTTACTGATGTCCTTCTCTAATGCAAGATGCCATCTTTGAACCCCTGGATGCATATACTTGCCGCTACGTATACATACCTAAATTTGTTCACGTTTTCCTTTTTTCGTATTATCAAATTAAGTCAACTGGCCTAATTCTTTTGCAGGTGCGCCTTATTAAGGAACGGAAATTAAATTAAAGAGCTTTATAATAGTCTTCCACACCACACTTGGTTGAATTCGTCATTAATGATTACAATTGGTAAGTTGATTTATGCACTTTTATGAAATTCTTCACATGTACAGGGTATAATAGAAACAACAAATTGTCTGTAGAATAGTTTTATAACATTTCAGATGTGACTTCTTTTTTGCGTAAAGTGACTGTAAGTCTTAGATATGCTGATCTTGTCTCTATACTTCCAACTATTGTTAGTGTGCTCACATGGCCAAAGCCGAGTGATTCTCTCACAACGACGATGGTAATGAGCAGGAGGAGTACTAATAAGTTCCTTCCAGAAGGGATGTCTTATTCAGAGGACGCATTGGAAATAATGAGTTTACCAGAAGGTAATTATTATTATTTTGTAGTCATTAATTAAGGTGCCATTTAATAAAAAGGAAAAGAAAAAAATTATGTTTTCCTTCCTATTCTACAATTTATTATGTTGGGATTCATTTGGAGCCCGTTTGGCATAATCTTGTTATATGTTTTGGTTCAATTTTCAGTGCCGCTTTCAGATTTCAAAGACAAACTTTTTACATTTCAAATGAATTTGAAAATGGGTCAAAAGATTAACCATAAAAAAAAAAAAACCAAAATACAATGTACAACAAGATCATTGTCCAACAGGCCCCATTTTAGCTGAGCTGCTTGTCATCCAAAAATTTACTAACAACTTACCAAAAAGGCATGATGATCTTCTGATGTCTTCTATATACTATGTGCATTGTTCTTTTTTTTTTTTGTAAGGAATGAAAGTCAACTGTAGCTCTTAGTGCATTCACATTGTTTCTCGTCTGAAAGCGTCGTAGTATATCTATTCTTTTTTTTGGCCATAAACCCCCTTTCAAATCCTTAGGGTCGACAGTAAAGCCGCTTTCATTCCACTTATCATTTAAAATCATATTCCATATTTTAAAAATTAATCATATTTAATTTATATTAAGAGCTAAGTTTTTTCTTGTGAATTTTATTTTAACTCACACAAGAAAATCTCAAGCATAATTTGGACAGATTTGGCAATGGACTTCTGCACCACCACTCATTTTTGCTGCTCTACGTCAACTTTTCGGTATAGTCAAGCTATGGAAGTTAGTATCTTTTTGGTATAGATGAACCTGATGTTTCTTGGGTCAATAACTTTGTGAAAGAAGTTCCATATAAGAACGCTGAGCAACTATTTAGCTTAGAGCAGAAGCGTAATGGAGCGTTCGATGACATTATGCCATCATGGATTGATCAACTGTACATAGAGCTGGATAGATAGTAGCTTAATCAATAATAATTGGCAAAATGATGCCTTGGCTTCAATCCACTATGGAATTGTATTCATATTCTTTATTCTATAGTATTCTTTTCATAATTCATATATGTAGAAAGAAGAAAGTATATGGTGATCATTGGGTCCTAAGTTAGTTGATGAAAGATTTAGCGTAGGATAACTAATATATCGTTTGATAGCTAAGGATTAGACTAAGGAATAATGTTTTGAGATGTATTCAGTTTCTTTTATTCCCTGAAACTCAAGGGGAAGTTACTTTCTATGCATTCTTCAATAGTAAAACGAAATGACCTTTTAATCATTTCTCTATTTCTCAGTGTTTTACTTCTTAGACCTTTCTTCCATAGGCCTTGGATCCATTGCCGCGCTAAACTGATCAAAACGCAAAGAAAAAGTTCATATCATTTCATAAACTTCTAGGATCTGAAAGAAAGAATCGGGAAACAGAAGTTAAATGTTGAAGTTCACACACTAATGATACTTTTTCCGTTTCAAAGTAAGAGTTAATTTGTGACGAGAGAATATATTTATTTCAAATACGTGTTTGGTATTTTTGATGATGTAGTTTTTCTTCTGTTAAATTACGAGGCAACCAACTAGCACGTAAATCTGATGAATACTATTGTTTATCTAAAATAATTGTCAACCAACTAGCACGTAAATATGATAAATACTCGTGTGTAGCTAAAAAAAGTTATTTCAAACAATACATAAGAAGCTATTTCAAGAGTTGGGATTAGATTACATTAAAGGAACTTGGTAAATAAAGAAATTTGCAACCAAGGACTAACAAAATTAAGTGATAAGTAGAAGGCGCTTTTACCGAACAATGCTGAAATTTCAACAAAACCATCAATCTCATAACTATAAGATGATTCAATTACAGAAGAGACAAAATGTGCCAAAAATTACAAAATAAAAAATTGAATTGTTACACTTTTTACCGAAATTAAGCTTTGAATGTGTTACCAAAATTTAACTATCGCATACGTTGTAAATTATGAAAGATGTATAAAAATGTAACAAAAACACTGGTCGCGCAACGCGCGACAACAAAAGCCTAGTACTTAATATAATGTCACAGTAGGCAAGAAATTAAATACCCAAGAAATATTCAAAGACCACCTTCAAAGTAATCTTGTCCGTCGGATGGGGTTGATATGACATCAGCGACTTATTAAGTACAAAATCAAAATTTCATAAATACAGTTCCTCACTAAATTTTAAATTTAAAACCGGAAGCTTTTAATACAGTTCCTCACAATATTAAGTCACTTATTAGGGGCAAAAACGAAATTTCACAAATTCAGTGTACTGTTTGGTTCGTTTTTTCGTTCATTTTTTCACAATTTTTAATTAATAACTATCCCATCCCAGCATACCTTTTTACATTCCCAATACAAAAAAATTACACTCAGCGACTTATTAGAGGTAAAAAAAGAAATTCATAAATATATCCCAATCCAAAAAAAAAAAAATCCGTAAGCTCTTGAGAAAAAAAACCCTAATCATCCAAAAAAACGACGTCGATTTTGCTTCGCCGTGAGATTTAGTGGTGAAAAATCTCAACTGATAAAACGACATCGTTCTATACTTCTCACTAATCATAACAAAATCCCTCATTTTCCCTCGTCATCCACTTTGTCTGCCTCACCCAGAAACATTTATATAAAAGAAAAACACAAAAGGCTCCGCCTCCACTGCCACCCAAAAAAACTCGACGTTCACCTCATCTTTCTCTCCAAAAAAAAAAAACTAAGACAATGCTTTCTCTGCCTACACTGGCACCCATCACCGTTCGTTGTCCTCCTTATTACCACAAAAACCACATTCAGCATCAGATCCATTACGTCGAGCCGCCAAAGGAGAACAACATCATCAGTTGTCGAACAACCATCTTCACTAAAATTGAACTTCCTCTAAACAAGAAGAAAATAATTGCAGAATTTTTCAAGTAATCGAACTTGGGAGCGTCGTCAGAATTAGGAAATTCGTGTCTATGAATATAGATTTGGAATACAAATCGAAATTTATGAATCTAGATTTGGAATACAAATAAAAAATTCTCCGAATTTGTATACAGATTAGAAATCTATGAGTCGGGCTCTTCTCCTTCAAGCTGAAGTCTCTTACGCATGAATAAATAAGATTAACAACACCGGATAAACTCGGACTACCGGTTGCAGCAAACTTCATCCAACACCTCTTCTTTCACTTCTTTTCCGGTCCATTAAGGTATCTTTTCGATTGATTTAGCTATTATTGTTATTTTAATATGTTTTCTTAGTTCCTTTTCTACTTCATTTTCTCCATGATTATTGTAAGTTTCTTTTGATTAGAAAACTATTCTGTTATTTGGGTTGTTCTGTTTTTTTTTGCAACATCGTTTTTTTCCATATGTACTATGAACTTTTTACAGTTGTTAATCGTTATTGTAATTCCAAAAGATCCTCCTTTTGTGTTTTTGGTTTAGATTCTATGGATTGCGCCCTTTTTAAACAGATGGAGGGCTTCTCAGGGGGACAACCAGGTGGTCGTTTTTAAGCAGATTCTGTGAATTTGGCGGATGGCATCATTCTGCTCGCCATCGACGACAACAACCGCTGCCTCTTCATCAACCTGCGCCGCCGCGTGGTGCTCTACAGGATCAGCTTCAAACACCACGACGCCACCGCCAAATTCAGCCCTTGCGGCAAGTTTATCGCTGTAGCTATTGGTAAGCTCCTTCAAATTTGGCGCTCCCCTGGGTTTAGAAAGGAATTTTTCCCGTTTGAGTTTATTAGGACATTTTCAGAAAATTGGAATTTAATTTTTCTGATATTCACAATTTAAAGCATCTGCAATATTTGGTCCGAGTATGTAGGCATTACTTTCAATATGTTGTGAGGTGTATTGCTGGAATTGAAGAACGCGACATAGATGAAATGGTTTTATCTAGTTTTTTCATCAATTTTTTCTATTACTTTGCATCATAAATTCTAAATTTCTATTAAATGAACTGTTTGTTGATTCTGCATTATTGCAGGAGAACCTTGCGAGGTGTTCCACTGCGACTTGAGAGCAAGTCATTTCTTGAGAAGATGACTGTCATTGAGCATACCGTGACTTTTTTCTTGCCAATATGTGAAGCAAAAAATGAATACCTTTCTTCTAATGCTCTGGTAATATTTTTTGGATGGTTTTTGCTGATGATTTGATATATAATTACGTATTTGATTTTTTTTTGACGTGGGCTTTCTATGTTTGCACTCCACAAATTCATAGATCATGAAGGAGAATTGTTGCAGGAGTTTGTTGATCGATGGGAACATGTATGATTGTTTTTATTGAGAGCTTCTTGGTGTTTGTTTTGATATGAAGTGGTAGTAGAGTTAAATAAATTTGATTTATTTGGTATAAAAAATTTTGGGACACACAAATTTACGTCAAATGTTGATTGTTAAACCTTTGTTTTCCACCACTTTACTGTTGTCCTTCTCTAATACAAGATGCGATTTTTAAACCCCTGGATGCATATACTTGCTGCTAACTGTACATACCTGAATTTGTTCATGTTTTTCTTTTTTTTGTATAACCAAATTAAGTCAACTGGTCTAATTCTTTTGCAGGTGCACCTTATTAAGGAACTGTATGGAAATCAAATTAAAGAGCTTTATAATAGTGTTCCTCATCACACTTGGTTGAATTTGTCATTAATGATTACAATTGGTAAGTTGATTTATGCACTTTTCTGAAATTCTTCACATGTGCACGGTAGAATAGAAACAACGAATTGTCTGTAGAATAGTTTTATAACATTTCAGATGTGGCTTCTTTTCTACGTAAAGTGACTCTAAGTCTTAGATATGATGATCTTGTCTCTATACTTCCAACAGCTATTTGTGTGCTCACATGGCTAAAGCAGAGTGATTCTCTCACAACGACGATGGTAATGTGCAGGAGGAGTACTAATAAGTTCATTCCAGAACGGATTTCTTATGCAGAGGACGCATTGGAAATAATGAGTTTACCAGAAGGTAATTATTATTATTTTGTAGTCATTAACTAAGGTGCTATTTAATAAAAAGGAAAAGAAAAGAATATGTTTTCCTTCCCATGCTACAATTTATTATGTTGGGATTCATTTGGAGCCCGTTTGGCATAATCTTGTTATGTGTTTTGGTTCAATTTTCAGTGCCGCTTTCAGATTTCAAAGACAAACTTTTTACATTTCAAATGAATTTGAAAATGGGTCAAAAGATTAACCATTAAAAAAAAAACCAAAATACAATGTACAACAAGCTCATTGTCAAACAGGCCCCATTTTAGCTGAGCTGCTTGTCATCCAAAAATTTGCTAACAACTTACCAAAAAGGCATGACGATCTTCTGATGTCTTCTATATACTACGTGCATTGTTCTATTTTTTTTTTTTAAGGAATGAAAGTCAACTGCAGCTCTTAGTACATTTACATTGTTTCTCATCTGAAAGCGTCATAGTATATCCGTTCTTTATTTTGGCCCTAAACCCCCTTTCAAATCCTTAGGGCCGACAGTAAAGCTTCTTTCATTCTACTTATCATTTAAAATCATATTCCATATTTTAAAAATTAATTTATATTAAGAGCTAAGTTTTTCTTGTGAATTTTATTTTAACTGTACACAAGAAAATCACAAGCATAATTTGGACAGATTTGGTAATGAACTTCTGCATCACCACTCATTTTTGCTGCTCTACGTCAACTTTTAGGTATAGTCAAGTTGTGGAAGTCAATATCTTTTTGGTATAGATGAACCTGATGTTTCTTGGGTCAATTACTTTGTGAAAGAAGTTCCATCTGAAAACGCTGGGCAACTATTTAGCCTAGAGCAGAAGCGTAATGGAGCGTTCAATGACATTATGACATCATGGATTGATCAATTGTATATAGAGCAGGATAGATAGTAGCTTAATCAATAATAATTGGGAAAACGATGCCTTGGCTTCAATCCACTATGGAATTGTATTCATATTCTTTATTCTATAGTATTCTTTTCATAATTCATATATGTAAAAAGAAGAAAGTATATGGTGATCATTGGGTCCTAAGTTAGTTGATGAAAGATTTAGCGTATGATAACTAATCTATTGTTTGATAGCTAAGGATTAGACTAAGGAATAATGTTTTGAGATGTATTCAGTTTCTTTCATTCCCTGAAACTCAAGGGGAAGCTACTTTCCATGCATTCTTCAATAGTAAAACGAAATGACCTTTTAATTATTTCTCTATTTCTCAGTGTTTTACTTCTTAGACCTTTCTTAAATATTGAAATCTAACTTATTGATCGTTGTTATCTTAAATTGAAAAAATGAATTGGAATACATCGCAATAGGATTTAATCGGAAATATACGATATAATTAAAATTTGCTTTCATTTACCAATAATATATTGTGAGTTACGGTTTCTTTTCTTTTTTTTTACATAAGAACTTAATTGTGGTATAATTATTCTATATTTCAATTTAAAAATGGATGATTTGTTTATATTTGATTTATTCTGGATGATTTAAAATTATCTTTCTTGCTTTGAAAAGTGTTTAGTTGCTTAATTGTGTAAAATAGTTGTGTATAATTTGGATTATTTTTTTAAGCATGTTTGAATTTTAAATTTGATGAAATATATAATTGATTTAACTACTATCGGATATGTTTATAATATATCTGTTAGTTAATTTTTGAATATACGTTAAATTATTCCAAACTTATATATGTTATATTTACAGGTGATAAAATATACTTCTAATTTTTATTTTTTTTTGTGAAAAAAAGTCTGCCCTTATAAAATATTCAAATTACAAAAATTTGCTGGAGTAGTAGATGTGTTCAAATAAAGACTTATGTGCACATTTTCATTTGAACTTATTTTGAGAATTTATCTTTTTCCTTATAAATGTGTTTATTTGTTTGATCGTGTATAAATATTTGTTAGTTAAGTTAACTACTCTTCACATCCTTTCTAAATTATTTCAAATTAGATACATTATGCCAAATTCTAATGTTTTCTTCTCACAAAAAAAGCTTATTCTCAATGTTCCTTCTTCTTCTCCTTCAAGTAGAACCTTTGAGGAAATCCCTGATGATCTCCTTCTGGAGATTCTAACCAAAATTGATGTTGAATCAATACATAATGCGTGGTTGGTTCGTACAAGTTGGTATAAAATTCTTCAAAACCCTGCACACCTGTTAACCCTTAGAAAAAACCATCTAATGCATTCTTCTCAAAATTTGCTATTTGTTTGTCAATCTCCTGGTACCAAAATTTATGGTCCCACTCCGTTGTTTGTGAAAATGAATGTGAAAGATCGCATTCAGAAGATAGATCTTAATGTGTGGGTTGATTATGTTCGTACTAAAGGACCCAACAAAATTCATCCAATCATATCTGATTTACTTTTGGTTCAATATCCTTCAGACTTTGATTTGATCAATCCTACTACTTCATCAATAGATCATTTCCCACCTCCATTTGGGTTTTCTGGATCACACAGTCCCTCACATTTGAATAATGTTAAATTCACTTTTGGCTTGATGGATAACCTTCAAAGTTACGTTGTAGTCTGTATCCACCATAATAGAAATGGTGAGCCCGATATCAAGTTTATAACATAGGGAATCAATGATCCTCTTATTCTGAAAGATATGGAGTGGATAATGTCAAATCAAAATGTCCACGATTATGTGTAGTACCGGGCTTGGTTGTGCAGAATTTTGTGTTTTGGACTATTGGTATTGTTCGTGGTGCTGTGGTTTCTCATTCTCAAAATAAAGAGCTTTTAGTATGTCTTGACATCATTAGTCATGCTTTCACTGTTGTTGATGGTCCATGTAATGCTTCGTGGTTGAAGTTCATACGATATGAGGATATGAGGGTATCTCTTCTTAATATTAAAGGTAAGTTCTGTATTTCAAACTCAAATTATACAGCTCATACTGATCACTTTGAAATTTGGAACCTAGACTTTCAGACATTTGAATGGAGTATTATTTATGATGTTAAGAAGTTGCCTTTTCATATTGGCATTCAACTCGGTCCATTTCTAGTTCCAGTTTTTCATTTTTGGCAACGTCCGACTTTCTTGTGTCCTAAATCTTCCCCTTCTGGTGATCTCATTATGGGTGGAAGAAGTGGGGATGAAATTATTATATACAATCCTGAAAAGAAAGACTTTTACCGATCTGTCAAGAAACCAGCTTCAGTCAATGGATTGCACCAATTAGCAATCGGATTTTATTGGCCACGATTCATGCTGATGTGATCGTGATCCTATTTCTAAATGTTTCTCTCATGTATTTTTTTATTTTATGATGTTTTCGTTTTTTTTTTCATTCAGTTAATATACGGTTAATTGTATTTGATTAATGTTTTGAATAAATCATTTTCTTTATTAATAAATTTATTGGTTATCATTTTATTATTTGTTTTCATCATTTTATTATTTTCTTATTCCATGTTGTTATGTTGAAGAATCAAGAATATGCGATAAAAAAGTTGTAGTCCATACGATCTGTGAATAATAGATAATTCTTCATTAAAAAAAATACAGTTTAAGTAAGTTGTTTGTAATGAAAGATACGATTATTATATACTGTATAATTCTTTTGAATGTGATTGTTCATCCTTTAAGTTGTTTATATTAGTTTCATAACTTCTATCAATCTCAATTGATGGTATACACTTACACGCAATATCACATCAACACTACTTCTTCACTTTTTCAATCTGTCAATCACTTTCATTTTATTTTTGATTTTGTTTTAATTAATTATTTTCTACATCTTCTCCATAATTTTAGAATATTCCTATTTCAACTATATTTATGTCATTTATATACTTTAAAACCTGTGTTGTTTTTATGGTTCTTCATACTTTAAAATTTGCATTGTCTCTTTTTTCGTATTATATTTTTCATTGAAGTAATTGTTATTATATTTTTAATACTCATTCAAGTTAAAATATTACCTATTATAGGAATAGGTAGTATTCTTTACTAATCTATAACAACATGCAACATCACATCATTATCAATTCCTCTATTCTTTCCATAATCAACGTAATCTGAAAAAAACTTAGGATTTCTATTCATTTACTTTTATAGTAAAAAAAAACATAATTTTGTATCGATCAACCCAGAATCATCATCACAGTTGTAACTAGGTCTCTATTAATTTTATACACTTACACACAACATCACGTCAACATTAATTCTTCACTTTTTATTAATTTTTCAAAACTGTCATTCAATTCCTCTTTTTTGTTTTTATTTTAAATTTTTTTTGTTCATTAATTCGTATTTATATCTTCTCTATAAATATGAACTATTCCTCTTTCATCTACATTTTCTCCATTCTTCATCTTTGACATTTGCTTTGGTTTCTTTGTTTTCTCTTCCAAACAAAAATCTTCCTTTTTCCGTTTGTTTTCACACATCTGATTCTCCATTTCAATTAGTTTAATAATCTTATTCTTTTTATTCTACTACTGTATCATTTGCATGTTTATTTGTTTTCACCTTTAAGAAGAAAAAATATTCTGTTTAATTTTCCGGCGGTTATTTAGTATATTTTTTCTTATTTGTCAGCACTTCTCCTTCACTCCTTATCATAGTTACATTTGGATCGATTCTGTTTTGAAAAGGCCAGGTACGATATATTTCTACTAAGTCAATTTTGTCATTGTTTTTTTTATTTTTTTGTGATTTTGAGTTTTAATACATTTATAATTATTTTTCTAATTACTTTGGTAAAAATAATGACTAAAACTTCTATCTCATCTTATTTTTCAGTGACGTTAATATGTCTTTTTTATTCGAAATGATATTTACACTTCCACAAGATTTTGATGGTTATTTCATGGTAAGACATTGATCAATTTATGATTCGTGATAAATCTTTTTTTTTTTGTAAGAAAAAAATTATTTATATTATGTATTTTGTTTTTGAATTTCAGAGACTTCCAAGAGTAGTGCATAACTATTTCAAAGAACTGATTCCTTCGTATCTTAAGATTCAAACAGATGTTGGAGAATTTATTCTTAAACTTAGTGTAGCTGAGAATGATGATGTTATTATCACTGGTGATAAATTTATTGATTTTACTCTAAATGTGCGAATTACAAAAGGGAGTAGATTGCACTTGGAATTTTTTGATGGTTACGTCATGTATGCAACTTCTTTTGGTGGCCATGGATTTCATAAAGTTATGTCACATCCTTTCAATCCAGTCGGTTTGAAGGCCATTGTAACTGTTCAACAATGGGATCTCATTTGTGGAGGATTGACTGTAAGTATCCTTTTCTGTAATTTTAATTGTTATTATAATCGTGTAAATCAGAATTAGGTTAGTGTTGTAAAATATGATATTTTGCACGCATTAATTTTGGACTGATTTATTTTACATAGTCGTTAAGGTTATGAAATGATGTAGTTTTGTTTATTATATTTAGTTTAGATATGTTATCAGATGATAATTTTAAGTACTCCCGGTGTTTAGATATGTTTCGAATAGGAATTTTGGACTTAATTTCTCATCATTATTTTCAAGTACTTCCCGGTGTTTTTTTTTTTTTAGCATCAAACAATCGTCACATACTCTCTGACTTCTCTCTCTAAAAATCACTCTCTGACTTCTCTCTACAAATTCCTATCTGAAAACCCTACCTCCCTATGGCGGCTAAATGGCCGCCGGACGATCAAGAGCAAAAGCTGCCCTCTTTTGCTCAAATTCTAAAAAGTTCTAAAACAAATCCTAGAAACATCATCAATCCGGCTGGTATCTCTAAATCTGTATCTCATCCTATCACATCCAAACCCTCGGTTTATAAAGGCAAACCCGCCTTTCTGTTAACAAAAGATGAAGATGATTCACTGGCGGTGCCTTTGAAATTATCACTGGTTGGGAAGTTTTCAAAAGGAAGACCGAAGATGGATTTTTTATGGCTTCAATTTCAGAAAATCGGATTTAAAGGAAGCTATTCTCTTGGAATGATTGATCATCGCCATATTCACATTCTTTTTGACTTGGAAGAGGACTACCATCGATGTTGGATCAAAGGGCTCTGGACGTTTGATTATCACGTTATGAGGGTTCTTAAATAGACTCCACAATTTCATCCAGAGCATGAATCGCCTGTTGTCCCGGTGTGGATTGCTTTTGAAGGGCTACCAATTCATCATTTCAATGAGGATTACCTTAGTCGTTTGGCGAGCATTGTCGGATCTCCGCTAAAAATTGATATCCCGACTCTAAACTTATCAAGGCCGTCAATTGCTAGGGTTTGTGTCGAAGTCAATCTGCTACAAGATCTCCCAAAAAGAGTACTACTTGGCACGGAGGAATACTCGTACTACCAAGAAATTACCTATGAAAACTTGCCAGAATATTGTTCCGAATGCAAGAAAGTCGGTCATGGCATAAAAGTTTGTCGACGTGGCAAGCCAAAAGTCACAACTAAGGATCCGAATATAGCACAATTGAAGTATGCGGGTGAGAAATTGAAAACCCCAATCAATACAGCCCAAGCAACCAGGCAACAAAAACCGAAAGCGGATCAATCGGATACAGAGAAGCTTGATACCCCAATTGACGTAGTGGATCGAAATCCACTCAATCCGTCGTCAGGAAAGAGGAAAATAACAAAAGAAAAACTGGCCACAATTATGGAGAATAGCAAGGAAGGAGCAAAGTCGGATACCCCATGGGATGTGCATGATCAAAATTCAAAATGGCAGATTGAGGAAAATGGAGGTAAACAGCTCGCTGTTTACGTTCCACTGGTCAATCTCTCATCGCGATTTGCGGTGCTGGATAATCCATCAGAGGAACAGCTAGTTGAAAAGATTAATAATGATGCAGATGAGAAGGAAGAGCAGCTAGAAGGGATTGTTGATTCGGCGATTGATTCAGATTTTGATGCGGGAAGATTTGGTTCAGATACTGAAACTAATACGGAAAATCCAATAAGGACAGTCAACGATGGAACACAAGATGATGCTTCGATCGGACTTAGCAGCAAGGAAACAGACTTCGAAAATGATAGATTTGTGGTATCCGATGGAGAGGATCATAAGAAAGCAAAGGTTGGCCGGCCCCGGGGATCGATTAAAAAGCTGCAATTGCATCTCTCAGAAACTCGTAAGTCAGCGAGACTTCATGGTTACTAATCCACAAGTTTCCGATGAATAATCAATTAATATGGAATATACGCGGTGTTGGAAACAAGCCATCTAAACGTCGTCTCAAAAATCTGGTTAGGCAGAATTCTGTTTCTTTTTTGGTTTTATTGGAGCCAATGATTTCGGTTTCACAGCTGGAAGTACTTAGGAATAAATTACGGTTTCGGGAAGCTTTCGCTTCGGTTACTGGAAAAATTTGGGTCTTTGTTTCTTCAGATTGGGTGGTTAATTTGTTTGGGGGTTCAGAACAAGCCATGCATTTTGAAGTTGAAAATCAGAAAATAGGGAGAAAAGTTTTAATATCGGCGGTCTATGGAAAGTCTACGCGTCAAGAGAGTTTATGGACTGAATTACGGGATTTTATTGGAAGTTATTCTGGTTTGCCATGGATGATTGGAGGAGATTTTAATGTCATTCGGCATATTGGTGAATATGAAGGTCAGTCGCAGCCAGATAGAGGATCAATGGACGATTTCAACTCATGGATAAATGACTGTAATTTGGCGGATTTAGCTCCAGTGGGAAATCTTTTTACATGGACGGGAACTAGGCAAAATGGAAAAGTGCTGAAAAGGCTTGATCATGTTTTGTTAAATAAGGAGTGGATGGAGTTCTTTCAAGCATCATCGATACATCATTTAAATAGAACAACATCTGATTATGCTCCCTTACTTCATCAATTCAGAGCTGATATGGATACGAGACCTAGTCTTTTTCGGTTCCAGAAGATGTGGTTACGTAGAGAACATTTTCTTGATGTGGTTACTGATAGCTGGAACCAGGAAATTTCAAAGATGGGGATGCTTGGTTTCTCTCTAAAATTGCGCAGGCTGAAGGCATGTCGGAAGGATTGGAATAAATTTGTATTTGGTAATGTTTTTCAGAATCTGAAAGTGGCTGAGGATGAGGTACAACTTAAGGAAAGCATATATGACCAAACTGGGAATATTTCAGATAGAGCAGAGCTACACAAGTCACAAGCTACTCTCCTCTTGAAATTGAGAGAACATGATGATTTCCTACAGCAAAGATCGAAACTTAAATGGCTTCGTGATGGTGACGCAAATACAGCATTTTTTCATGCCTCCTTGATTGAGAAAAAAGCTCGTCTAGGTATCCACAAAATCAGAGGAGGAAATGGCTCATGGCTGACACGTAGAGAAGACATCGAAGAGGAAGCAGTAGGGTTTTTTAAAAACTTGTTGACGGAGGAGGTTTCTGAAAATCATGAGGAAGCATCTACCCGTCTACTTCAGATCATTCCGGCTGTTTTAACCACAGAAGATAACCAAGATCTTCTCAAAAATATTACAATGGAAGAGCTTAAGGAGGTTGTGTTCGGATTAGACCCCTCAAGTGCGCCGGGAGTTGATGGTTTTGGGGGAGATTTTTATCGCCATTGTTGGAACATTATTAAACAGGATCTCCTGGATGCTTTTTCTGATTTTATGAAGGGTACTCCTATTCCTCGAGCTATTGGCAGCACTATTATCACTTTGATCCCAAAGAAACCCACTGCCACTACATTTGCGGACTTCCGGCCGATTAGCTTATACAACTTCATCAATAAGATTTTTACGAAGTTAATGACGGAGCGTCTGAAAAAAGTTCTACCTAGATTAATCTCGGATGAGCAGTCAGCCTTTTTAGCTGGGAGGGATATTGTTGATAACATCCTTTTAACTCAGGATTTGGTTCAGTTTATAGATCATCCAGCAAGGGGAGAAAATTTAATTCTGAAAGTGGATATGATGAAGGCGTTTGATCGTGTCTCATGGAGCTTTTTGCGTAAATTATTGCTCAAGTTTGGGTTCAATGGTCACTTTGTGGCATTAGTACTGTCCAATCTTGAAAAGAGTTGGTTCTCCATTCTCATTAATGGTAGTCCTGTGGGGTGGGTTTTTTCCGGCTTCAAGGGGAATAAAACAGGGCGATCCATTGTCACCATATTTGTTTATTCTCCTTTCGGAAGCTCTTACTCGAAACCTAAGGAAATTAACGGATGAAGGGGAAGATTGCTAATTATGGAGTACCGTCAAAAGCAATGATTCCGTCACATTTGTGCTTTGTGGATGATCTAATCATCTTTACAAGAGGATTAAAGCATTCTATGCAAAATTTGGTTTCTTTTTTCCAAGACTATGAAGCAGCCACGGGTCAAAAGATGAACAGGCAAAAAAGTTGCTATTATGTCTCGGAGAAAAGCTCTAGTATACATTTGCAATTGGTGAGCCGCACTCTTCAAATGTCACAAGGGTCTTTCCCATTTACTTATCTGGGATGCCAAATCTTTAAGGGGAGGAGAAAAGTAGAATTTTTTCAGAATTTGTTAGAAGCTTTTGATGCTAAGATATCGAACTGGAAGAATAGATTCTTAACGCAAGGAGGCAAATTGGTGTTAATTCGGCATGTGCTTTCAGCTCTTCCTTTACATACTATTGCTACAATTGAACCCCCGAAAATAATCGTATCTGAGTTGGAGCGCAAATGTCAACAATTTTTATGGGGAGAAAATGAAGATGGGAATAAAAGGCATTGGCGTGCATGGACTCATCTAGTAGCACCGATTGAAGAAAATGGTCTTAATATTCGCAGCCTTGGAGATGTAATAAAGGCTTTTTCTCTTAAGCTCTGGTGGAAGGTCAAGAATGGTACCGGCATATGGGCAAAGTTTATAGGATCGTTGTCAAAATCTTCAAAGGAGAGGACAAGCTGGCTACGAACGAACAAGGTTCATCAGCTTGCGTTGTTAGCTTCGCAACTGGAAATACGAAATGAATCATCATCATTCTAGTTCTCTTGTTGGCTCACGTCATCACCAATCTGGACTGTGGAAGAGGAACCGCTGATACCTTATTTAAATGTTTCTGATTTTTTCCAAGCGAAGTTTTTCTTTTTGCAGGTTTTTTACGGCTTGATACAACCCGAAGTTGAGGGGCAGCTGCGCGAAATGGAGATGTTCTTTTCAGATGAGCCTGATAAGCTCGTGTCGACACCCTCAACAACTGGAGATTTTACAATCTCATCAGCCTACAGAGCAATCCGGCACCAAAGAGAAGCTTTTCCGTTTCTTAAAAATTTTTGGAATAAAATCATTCCACTTAAAGTATCTTTTTTCATTTGGAGGCTATATAATCACTTATTGCCTTTTCCTGAAATTTTATGTAGAATGAACTTGACACTATATCCATCAAGGTGCTCCTTTTGCCAGGTAGCGGATGAAAGCTTGGACCATGCTTTTTATGGCTGCCCGCGTATTAAACAAGCTTGGAATTATTTTGCGGCTGTGTTAGGGCTTCCGCGTCAAAATGTTGGTTGGTGGAGCATGGTTCAGTCGTGGCAAACAATTGGAAATTTCTCTACGGCAAGAAAAGCGATTATTATGGTTGCTCCTCTATTCTTGCTGTGGGAAGTGTGGAAGTTCAGAAACAAAATAATCTTTGAAGGTACATCTTTTTCTTTTCAGGTCTTGGTTAAGAATGTTGTTTCTAACATCTCTCAAATGCTAAGTGTACATAAGATCCATGCAAAGAATCTTGAGGAGAGAAAAGAAGTTGAGAGTTTGTTTCAAGTTAAAGTGCTACATCCGCCAAAGAAAACGATCAAAATTGTGAAATGGAAACCTCCGGATCCATCGAAATATGTTTTGAATACGGATGGATCAGCATTGGGACAACCGGGTGATGCTGGTTGGGGATACATCTTGAGAGGCCAAAAAGGAGTTTTTATTTGTGCAGAGAGTAAATACATCGGAAGTGCAACGAGCTTGGAAGCTGAATTACTCGGTATTTATTATGGTTTAAGGGCTTGCATTAGGAAGGGTTTGCGCTTTATTGAGGTTCAAACAGATAACCAGGTCATCACAGTATGTTTACAAAAGGGCCATAGCTATCCATGGAAACTTTATCGTCATTTCCGCAGCATCCAGAGCATGTTAAAACAATCGCAATCAAAAGTTTTGCACATATACCGAGAGGTAAATAGCGTGGCTGATGATCTTGCGAAACAAGCTTCGGCTAGGGTTTCATTTCATTATAATAACTATGGTGAACTTCCGGCATCAATCCGTGGAAAAGTTCACCTTGATCAATCTTCATTCCCTTATATTAGGATTAAATAGTCTCTAAATCTTCAAAATCTAGATGGAGTTGTCAGGGGATTAATGTTTCTAATCTTTGTAAGGCAAGCTCCTAGGTACTTAGATAGGACAAGTGAACTGTCAGGGGATTATAGTTCTATCTTTGTAAGACAGTTCCTAGTGTAGTTGCAGAAGAATCGTCAGGAGTTTTACTAGAAAACTTTGTAAGACGGTTCTTTTTCATTTGGGTAAGTCTTAAGCACTGCCTTATGTAACTTTTATTTTTTAATTAATAAAATCGGGGTCCTCCCGCCAGGTACCGCCCTGGATTCTCCAAAAAAAAAAAAAAAAACTTTTTTGGATGCAATTAAGTTCCCTAAAACCAAGATTGTCTTTGTCGAGTTAGAAGATCAAATTCTAAAATTTGAGTGGTACTCTGATAAAGATGGAATAACCGGGTTTTTTGGAAAAAAAAAAAATGGGCCAAATTCGTGACATATTATGAGCTACACAAAAGAGAACGCATAGTGTTGCTTACTTATGTTCATGGATGCACTTTTCAAGCAACTAATTTCAACAAATATGGTTTTAATATTTATAGTTTAAATGGCTCTTCAAAAGATGATGCTCATCTTCAAATGATGGTGAAAACTATTGATGGTAGTTAATTAGTATTTATTAGTTTAAATATGGTGTTATATTACCGAATATTTGGTTTAGTTTCTATTTCGATTCGAAATTAGTTTATTTTTATTATGATATTTTGTTGAAACATTCAATCTTATTATGTTTGTTTCTACCTCAATGGACTTCAACACTGTCGGGATAAATGAATAGCTAGAGTGGTCGTGCAATCTAACAATTTGGCAGTTGTTAATTTCCTTCATCAGAATCAAGTTTTCCAATGGAAGCATCATCACAACCTTAAGGAAATCAAAGGTATGCTACTTCTTTCCAACTCCAAAATAATGCATGTTTACAGAGAGGTTAATAGCATGGCAAATGAATTTGCAAAAATGGCATCATAAGGTTCCTCTAGATTATATGTCTCACGTGACCAACTCCCAGTCACATTGCTAGGAAAGTGGTACTTAAATAAGTGCTCCTTTCCGTATCTTAGGGTTAGGTAATTTCTTTGTATTTTCTTTTAAAATTTCATATATTAAGATGATGGAGATGTTAGGGGATTCATGTTTTTGAATCTTTGTAAGACCTCTCCTTGGTAATTTTTGCTCTATTAAGACAAAATTGTCAGGGGATATTACATTATCCTTTAAAAACAAAAAATATTTGTTTCTACCTTCTTCTTTTATTACAAAAATATATGAATTGGTTACTTATCAAATGATTTATGTTGTTGTTCTACATGCTTCGTGTACCTTCTATCATAAGTTAATAAGGTACTTTTGTCGGTCAAATCAATTTGATTCTAATAGTACTTTTAATGGAGTAAACAGTGTTTTTGTTATAGTTTATTGAGTCATGCTGTTACTACATTCATATAGTGTCCTACCTAAAATTCTAGACAAGATCCCATCAAATATTGATACAAATGAATCCCATAACTATTGATACAAATGAATACACAAACATCTCATTAATTAAAACTCATCATTTCTTTCCTTAAATTTTTATACTTTCACATTAACTCGTATTCAATTTTACTTCAACTACCTTAATCATTTTTTCTCTTTTTTTACATTGGTTACTCCTTCAAGTTGTTTCTTCCATTTTTTCAAGTGGCGTTCGTCTTTTGATCGGTCTCTTTGAAATTATTGGAATCAAACCACTCAATAATAAAAAAGCATTTCAAGAAAAGAAATAAAAAAATAAAAAAATAAAAAATAAAAAAGCGTGTAACAAAATGTTGATTTCAAATTCGAATTTTTGTATTTGGATACGATAATCGGGAATTTTAATTTATCATTATATTGTATAAATAAACTTAAATTTGATTGTAATAGAATGTGATAATTATCACATAAGTAAAATACGTATCAAAAATATGTTTTAGTTTTATCATTAAAATATCCTCATTGCACTTTTTTCTCAATTCCAATTTAAAAAAAGTTTTGAATATCCATTCCCTTTTACTGTATGTACTCCAATTCCTTTCATTGTTTTACTGCAACATAATCTTACTCAATTCAAAACACTGTCTTATTTGTTTAAAATAAACGATAATATTCAGTTTCTTTTATTTAGTATTATATTTAATTGTTATTTACTAATTGTTTCGAAAAGTTTTAAGTATAGACACCATAATTTTTGCACCACATGTATAATTTTTAGATTCAGCTTTTGAAAATCAATTTTAAAAATATTAACTATCAAATAAAGAAAAGATAAAATTAAATTTCAATAATAAGCATTGTTCTTTTTATCTTAATTTTATTCAAAGATAAAAAAGTTGTCGTTAAATTTTTAAACCTTTTATCTTGCAAAATTTATTCTGATAAGTTGTCGCCATATTTATTAGTAACAATAAATAATTTTTCAAAACACTTTTATTAATATGATTAGATAATAGGAACTGAATTTTTAAATTTGAATTCACTCCATGTTTCAAAATACTTTGTATGTATTGCATCATAAATATTGGAGTTATTTGTTGGTCGAATTTCACAGTCAATCTTTCTTTCTTATTTTTATAAGTTAAAAAAAGATATCAGTGGTTTCAAGCTATGATATGTTGGATGAACTTGACTGTTCATGTGGAATTGGATGGAATGTGAGGGTTCGTGTTTTGAGAGCTTGGAGGGAAGATGGAATTCAACAATCCAAATGAGCCTTACATGATGGAGTGTATTTTGCTGGATGAAAATGTATTACTTATTATGTAATTAGTTTATGATTTAATTGGGTCAGATTACTTTTGTTTTTTTATTTACAGATAAACCATGAATTTATAATTATGTGAATTTTTTCTTTTTTGAAGGGTAATAGAGCAGTGGCACAAGTTAGGAAGGAACTTATTTATAAGTTCGAAAGAAGCTTGAAAGAAGGGGAATACTAACAAATAAGAAATTTCGGCACTGTTGTTGATAAAGATTTCCACCGTTTTTGCAACAATGATTACAAGATGATATTCAAATGCAATACAAGAGTGTTTGATGTCGAGAAATTTCCAACTGATGAAGCAGGAGGGAAATATGGTTTCCGCTTTGCAAAGTTCTCCGACATAATCAAAATGAAGTTGGATGAAGTCTTTTTAATTGGTACTTTTAATACAATTTTGTGTTGATTATGTGTTGGAATTTTATATGATTAAAGTGCATTTTTTTTTTTTTTTGCATTATTCATAGATGTAACTGGCGAAGTACGTGCCTTAGTGATAAGCAAACTGTGAATATCAAAGGAGTCGACAAGGATTTTGTGGACGTTGAGCTGCATGATTTAGAGTAATATTTTTTTCTATTAACTTTAATATTATATTTGATCTTTTCGTTATTGATTATATTTTTGTGAAATGACCCTCTATACCAATCGTTCTACAGTGGAAATTCTATCATTTGCACCTTTTGGAGTGAGCATGGTTATCTTATGTTAGATCATCGTGCACAAAACGAATCGGCTGGTATTGTTGCTGTTATTATGCATGTCAAAATTGGAGAATTTCAGGGTTATATTGTCGTCCTTTAATTTATTGTTATATTCTTATAATGAAATTTTCTGGAAGATTATTAACATTTTTTTCAGGCAAGAAAAAATTAGTAATAACTATTCCGGGACAAGAATATGTCTCGATGATGAAACTATTGATGAAATTTGTGATTTCAAAGACAAGTAATGATGTTTTATCTTAATTTTTTATTTTATTATATCTCCTTTTACAGTCATGTATTGTTTCAATTTTTTAAAATATCAGACTAATTTTATTTTTACATTGCGTATTTAATTTTTGTAGGTTGATTAAAAGTGATCAATTTGATTCATCCAAAAACATATCTACACTGTCTATTGCAATGTCTTCCTTTGTTCCGGAGGACATATTAAAATGTGAAAGGAAGGATATTGGTGACATTAAGTTTGTGATAATGGTATGTTTTTATTTATTGTTTTATATGATTTATTATTTTTCAAATAAACTAAATTTATTCAGAATTGCAAATTACCTTTGTGCAACCGATCGGTGATTTGGTTTGTAAGGCGAAAATAATTGGCATCGATGGTACCAAAGGATGGAATTATCTTGGTTGCCCTAGGTGCCACAAGAAGGTTCAAGAGATTCCTTTACCTAAGATCAAACTCGAGGATGAAACAATTGATGCTAAGAAAGGCAATAATAATGCTGGGTCGGTTTACTATCGTTATGACGATGTATGTGGTAAAGTTTTGCCGAATGTAAATCCGAGGTAAAATTTTAAGCACTTCTTATTGACAATTGTTTTGGTATTGGTAAAGTTTTGCCGAATGTAAATCCGAGGTAAAATTTTAAGCACTTCTTATTGACAATTGTTTTGGTATTTTTCTAATTACGTTGTTTTTTAAATTACAGGTTCAAAGTTTTTGTTACACTTAAAGGATCGAACAGGCAAGCATGATTTTGTGTTGTTTGATCGTGATGTTGAGAATATCCTGAAGATAACTTGCAAAGATCTCATGAAAAAACAGTCTGATGTAATTTTAAAGTTCATTACTCAATCAATTTATTTGTTAGTCAATTTTATTGGTTCACATGTACATCATTCTTATTAATACTTTAACAGGTGAAGGATCCCGAAGATGATGAAATTCCTAAAGAGTTGTACCAGTTGGTGGGAAAAACATGATTGTTCAAATTTGATGTAACTATCAAAAATATTGGCAAAGAACGATATACCTTGGGAATAAGGCATATGGAAACCAATCATGATATAATTAAACGTTTCTCTAATGCTCCTATATATGTTGCGGTATAACTTATTTTTTAGTAATTTAATTTTATATATCTGTATTTTTAATCTGTTTCCCTTAAAATTTATATAATCTTGATACAGGATGATGATAGTGAAATTCATTCATCTAATGAAGGATTTTTAGGTTCTCAATCTATTAATTCA